TCACTTCGGGCTCTCCTCCCACATTAAGCTGACACGCCGTGATATAACTGGAATACTGTTAAAAGCGGCGTTAAACCCAAATCACTCACTCACTCACTCACTGAGCCCTAGGGATACATAGACAGCCCAGTGTTGTACCCTTATTGTTACATTGTCTCAATGGGGTACATACATCACCGACCCGTGAAGATTTCGGGGTATAATAGGTCTTCAGTAACCCATACTTGCCGTAAAAGGCGACTATGCTTGTCGTAAAAGGTGACTAACAGGATCGGGTGGTCAGGCTCGCTGACTTTGTTCATACATGTCATCGATCCCAATTGCGTGGATCGATGCTCATGCTGTCAATCACTGGATTGTCTGGTCCAGACTCGATTATTTACAGACCGCCGTCATATAGCTGGAATATTGCTGAGTGCGGCGTCAAACAACAAACAAACAAACAAAAACATACATCACCAACCAATGTACCTGTGTCAGGTTAACCTTGTTCAATCCACCTATCATTATTAGATAAGATAAGTTCAATCAGTCCCTACCATCATTATGATCATTATAGTTTAGAGTCAGTGATGACTCGTGTCAATGAAACAGGCCATGCTATTGGCACATGGTTATATGAGAATCACTGCACCCTAAATCCAGCAGTGGAGGGGTTAACAACATGGCTACTGATGACAAATGTATACATATACCTCTTATCCTGAAGGGGTAGTTTGTTCTACTCATACATCTATAACTGAAGATGACTTCAGAGTTACAGAGATAAGCTTGTCCCCATTTATCTGATTTCTGTCAAAGAAAACTTTCTGGTTCAGTGACCATGTTCTTGACATAGGGGATGAATGGAGGACCTTGATTCAACTAGTTATTACCAGTACACGTTCCACAGATGCTTTATTTTCAACGTGAATGAACAATCTTCCTTACTCTCATTCAAACTGGGGCACACCCTTTGGTAGTGAAACGCACCTGGGTCTGACCAGGATCAAAGCAATTTGAAAGCATACTGTTGTGTGGGTAAACATGCACTGAATGAATTTGAAAAGTATTCAAGATTTCAACCGAATCTTTTAAACTCTGACATATCAACACAACATGGTACAAATGATTTACCAAACCATACACATATAACTTCATTCTCTCGTATCATGCTAATTTGTTTCAGAAGGATTAAAATGAAAGTCAAAATATAGTAAAATATAAGTTCTCTAAATCTATCATTTGCTATCCTGATTTTTAGTCCCTGTGAAATCCCCCCAACACTCCATTTCCTGTCCTAAGTATCTACTTTGTAATTAAGGGTGTATCACTTCTATATGCCTTTCAAAGACTTAATACTTTGTAATTCTCCAAATGATATTCTGATAATTCACCACCGCTTCTCAACCAATCCTATTATTCCAAAGTGACCTTTACACATACTTCAACTATTCAGCAGGCATGAAATCTACATATGTAAGTACTGTTTATGAGTATCACACAATAACATGATGACCCTTCTCTGTGTAAATGTTTCCTTCACTGTAAGGACCCCCTCCCTGGGATATCCCTGTGCCACTCATACGGGGGCATCCCTGAATGGGAGGGCCCCACCTACTTCCTAGTCATCATCCAGGGTCATCCAGTGTCCTGTCATAAAGACAGGGTGTTAGAGGTCAGCACCTCCTTAACATGGGGCAGCATGTTGATATGGGGAGTAACATACACTATTACCAAGGTACATCTCATGGTCTGAAGGGCTGACTAGGTATATCTCAAGAGTTACTACGTCCATGTAAAGGGCTGACAAAGTTCATCTGTAGGCTTACCGAGGTTTATCTGAAGGGTTAACAAGGTACTATTAAGGGCTAACAAGGTACTATTAAGGGCTAACAAGGTATATCTGAGAGGTAATCACGATGCAACTAAAGGCTAACAAGGTATGTCTGTCGGAAAACAAGGTACGTCTGAAGGATAACAAGGTACGTCTGAAGGATAACAAGGTATGTCTTTAGGATAACAAGGTATGTCTTTAGGATAACAAGGTTATGTCTGTAGGATAACAAGGTATTGTAGGATAACAAGGTATGTCTGTGGAATAACAAGGTATATATGAAGGATAACAAGCTATGTCTGTAGGAGAACTGTGTTGAAGGTTTGTCTAGGATAACAAGGTTCACCTAAAGGATAACAAGATTTGTCTGGTTTCAAGAAGGTACTACATCTGACAGAGAACTGTAAGCTTTCTCTTTTTCCTTTTACTTTATTGGTACTTAACGTAGTGTAAGAAATGAGAATCCTACTGCCTTTACAAAGTGCAAGCTGAAGTTTTTCAGTTTTTGTTTAGTCACATTAAACTCTTAAATACTACATTAGATTAAGAAAATCAGTCTTTACCCAATGCATACCTTAGCAAAATCATCTTTGGAGATCCCTCTGCCAACACCTATTCCTGTTACACAAAATGTATTCTAAAATGACAAAGATCCACAAGTTCATCCTATCAACAGCTGTACATGCCCTAACCTGCTCAAATACAGCATCTATTATTCATCCGCCTGCATGACAACTTGCTATCATACCACAACTTAACATTATCAAGGAGATAACTTTTTTTCCATTCAAGCATTTCCACATTCCAAACATAGCATAGAACAAAGGATTTCCTTTTTTCCACACATACACCGATGACAAAACCTGGCACAAAAAAATTGCATTGTATATTTAATGATATCATACAATATGGAAACATGATTTTATTAATACCTTTACCTATGGCATAAAGTTAAACATAATTTTTACCCAAATACAAGCCCTTGTAAAACAAACATAATTTTACATAAACATTATAATTCATTTTTTTAGAAATACATGTATATGATATTCATTAACCAAAAGACTCCTTTCAACACCACATATTGATGTAAGCAAGAGAAATTCTAACCTTGTTGTAACTTGCAACTGTCTCTACATTAATCATCTTACAAGAAGAATGTGCACAAAGGGTGCACATTTCATATTACCCCTCATAAATGAGGGTTACATGCTAGCCATGATAACCAACACAAAGTTTAAGGAGAAATGCTAACATCTTTATCACAAGATATGACTTTCATGTCTAAACAAATCATATCAAGCAAACTGATTATGACTGAACTAAAAGCAAACACAGGTATTCACATTTTCTAGTGATGACATTAGTTTGTCTTTCGTGTGATAACATTGGTTTATCATACCAATTTTCTATGTCCACATCTTAACATGGAGGAAGGTGAAAATTAACAAAATTCAAAAAGGTTGATCAGTGATCTATTAAAAGTAAAATATAATTCTAAAATTAATCAGGAAGTCATATTATTTTAGGTGTGTATTAAAGGGTACAAACGTTTCCTCAAACGAAACCATCAGACAGAAAGACAGAAGCTGATACAGGAAGTAAATACACATATAGCTAGCACATGCATGTATATATTTCTTCGTATTCAAACAGATGGCAACTGTATTCAATACATTGTTATTCTCTTTCTCACATCATAATGCTAAGAATATATCTCCATTACTGATATTGGTTCTACTTGCCTATTGACATAACATCATTCAAGCCACTATTCTCACAGCATGAAAATAATGTCATTTGTTCAGAAAAATACTGCTGGTTATACATAGCGAAACATTTCATACAAACATTCTAACTATTTCCTGAACTGTATTGTTCTCAATGACATCCATGAATGAAGTAATTATTCAAATAATTTGAAAACAGACCAACAAACTCACTTTGTTTGTGACATATAAATATAATAACAGACATGTTCAAAACAGCTTAAATGCCTGACCAATGACATGTGTTTGAGTGCAGGCTCTCCCCTCCAGATTGCCTCCAGAAATAACTCTGAGTGCAGAGTGTTTGATCTATAACAGGTTCACAAACATTTTTGTGTAAGCTCACAACAAAAACATTAATCCTTAACACCTTTCCACATTCATACATTGTTTTTTTCATCCGCCATTTCAAACAGGATTGTTTTTATTCCTTGAGATGTTCCTCATTTCCAAATAGCATAAAAAGATAAAAATAACCAAACTGCATTAAATGACTGTGAATGTAGCTCAAATATGAAATCAAGATATTTCAATCCCATACACATTTTTCACAATTTGGATCCAAAGAACATCATGGTAACAAACACTTTCAATTACCAATATTGAATCAGTCAATCTGTGACACTCAATATCAAAATAAAGTAAAGTCCCAAATACAAATCCCGAAAATCAACATTTGTTTTACAAGCAAGCCCAGAATACAGACAACATGCTTCGAGCTAGGGTGCTGTTCTATGTGTATAATACCACCACAACAGCTGGTTTTAAACAAAAGACCCAGACTGATGTCTCCATTGAAATATATACAATACAAGGTGTGCTAATTTCATCAGGACATGTTTTCTCAAGTTGTCAATAACCTGTTGATTGTATCTAGCACCTATTGATTGTCTTCTTGTCAAAAGGTGTGTACATAGCTGATTGACTTTTACCACTATATGTGGGTGATTACGTTTAGCCCTGTTAATAAGTTAATGCACTGTCAAAATAACGGTATGTCACAAAGTCAACAGGATTATTGCTCCGGGGCTATGCCCTACTCAGATATGTACCTAACACGTACTCTGTCAATTAACGTGTAATCCGATCTTTACACCTCAAGCACCCCAGCATCTCATATCATATACTTGATAAGCTTACTTACAATTATATAATCAAACATATTCATACAGTAATACCTTTGATACCGTGAACTGAATTTAAAACGTAAATGATGTGAATTTTATGTACGCTGTTATACAAAGTATTTCTTCATATTTGGATAACTGGTTATCAACTAGTTATTAAACAGCTATATCCGCGTGTTTTCAGCGTCATGAAACATAAGGGTTAATATCTAACTTAAAAGAACAGTTAACATTCTTACCGACTAATTTGTGTCAAACTATGCGACTATCTACAGAGCTAAAACTTACCAAGTAAAAGAATCTTAATGACATTCTCCTCTTCTTTCGCCCAAAGCTGAAGAGTCCTGTCAATTGCTTCGCTCCTCGCACGAGCTTTCAGTTCTTCCTGATCCAAACTAAAACACAAGCCCATAGTAAGTCGTTTTTACATATTGAGTAACAGTAAACTCAGCTCTGACAAACATTTCACATTTCGTACTCCGAAGTGCACGCCGGTCCACAGGTGAACTTCTGTCGTCTGCCAACTTTCAGTCGAAGCTAGGGGACGATCCTTGAATTAAAATCAACCCATCCTGAAGCTTGTTTATCCAAATCGGAAACTATCTTGAAAATGAACGCTGACACAAACATTCACGGCCTGTCAATGCACAAAACGCCTCTAGACTGGCCACAGCGATGTCACTACGTGGTGTAGTAGCGACTACAGGCCCATTTCCCGTTTACCTGGCGTGCTCCGAAAACGAGGCTATCATTGAAAGCTCCGTTTGATTGATAGGTGGGCCATGGACTGTGACCACTATTATCCGTTTCATAAATCGTTGTACAAGTGAAGTTTTGACATAGTGACTGTCAGTTGAAATTAATTCATACCTGCATTTACGTCATTAACACATGTATCTATTTATGTTTACATATATTATAGACCTCAAGTCGACCGCTCTGTTAACTGACCTATTCCTGACTGAAATTATGTCACATGTAGATTAAATGCCTTCCTTATGCGAGCGCTTCACATAGTAATAGATACTAATTTACATGCCATTTCTGATATTTTTTTCATTGATAAATTTTCTTTTCATACATTAAACATATTTTTTATATTTGAATAAAACAGAAAATAACTATTTTAACATTACACTGTATGGCAGAAGCAAACTATGATTAATATAAAGATAATTTCTCTTCGTGAAACATAGTGTATGCTTGTGAAAGTTATACTATGTAGAATATTTGGGTTTGAAATTATCTTTTTTTTATTCTTTTATTGTTGATACAGATAAGTACCTGTTACATAAAATGGGCTTCCGCCCAGGATAGCAGAAAGCTCATGACATATATCACAACTTATCAGTACATCTTAGTTTTTTTTACGGAAAATAACACACACCACCAACAACCACCAGAATTCTTTTTAAACTTAGGTGCTCTTAAACGCCATTTCCTATATTGTTTTTGTAAGATTTTATTTGTAACACATATTGGTAATTTATTTCTAAGTTATATATACACGTGTTTTACTAACACATATTCGATTTCCATTCAAGAAACAACTGTGATAACAAATGAAATTTGAACATTAAAACGAATCGATAATATTACTTTTCTGTGTTTTTACATGTTCATTCGTAGTATGTGATTGTTATTTTTTTTTTTCATATTTTAACTCGAACCGACCAATCATTATAACGAATAATATTAAGACAATAAATATCATGCTCGACCTTGTACAGTTTGAATTAATAATTTACTGCATGGATGGTAAATTGAGGTTTACTTATTTAAAAAACAAACAAATTGTGCTTTTTTTTTTAAGGTGTAGGCAATTGCTTTTCTGCGACAATGGTAGTTTCGACCCAGCAAAGGGCATCGGGAAATTACTAAACTTTGGAAAGTTGTACATTTATTATCAATAAGGACCAGTGGCTGCATGACACAAGTTGGCGAGTCCGTTGTTGTTAGGGTACAATGTCACACTACAGCCAGGTAAGGCAAAACTCAGTTAAAGCTCATATATTCTCGCAATCAATATAAATATCACCTGCTATCAATTAAAACCTGTTCAAAGTTATCGTAAAAAATGTAGAAAACAACGAATTATGACAAATCGCGAGTATAAATTAAATTGGAATTTTCATATATATAATCACTGCCAAAAGAAACGCGAATACCATTTATGTTGGTTAATATATGAATAATTACTCATATTAAAGAGATATTAGATTGGTTCGATGCATGTACAAACGAGCATACTGATGTGTTGCGTGAACCGACGCTCATGAACGCATCACATGTGATGTCATAGATCCATGACTCTGAGACGTACCATTTGTCACGTGTATTAAGGATTAGCGTGTAAAGTTTGGAAATCACGTGCAGTATATCGTGATAAGAATTAAGACCCGCTGAAGTAACACTTTACTGATACAAATACTAATACTGATGCAAAACTAACAAACACTTGACTGATTGTTAATTTTGTCCTTAAGTGGTACACATTGTAAACATTTCATTTCACTTACATACTTTTCAAAATGTTTCTTTGTTTCGCGTTTCTTTTGGAGGTAAGTATATATTTTTCGATCCACCGACCTGAATTTTTTTAGCCAAAAATCCGTGAACCTGAAAAGAATAAAGAAAACAAATCTGGCATAACTTGAATTCTGCTTTGTACTCGGGTGGTTCGCTAGCCTGACTCTGGACAGTCAGGATAGGCTTCCCTTTAGGCCACAGCCAATTAAAATTTGTTTTTTTTTATTCGCTTAAGGCACTTAGAAACATAACCGGGGCGAACCGGGACTCGAACACACAATCCTAGGTTTCTGGCCATCTTCCCGATGCAAAGGAGTTAACTGAGTGTAAAAGTGGAAACTGGACTTTAAAAGTCAGTTAACCCCCTTGCCTCGGGAAGATGGTTTCTCTGCAAAGCGAATTGCGTCCCTCTGGCACGCCAGAAACCTATGATTGTGGGTTCGAATCCTTGTTCGCCCCATTATGATTCCAGGTTTGTCATCACCATACCCGCGCTCGTGGATTTGACCGAAGACTTAGTGGTAAACGTCTGAGACCTGCATCAACGAAGCTCGCGGCATTAAGCCTAGCTCACTCAGTGACTCCATCAGTGTATGAGATGATCGCATCCAACAACAACAAATATAAAAACTGGTTATCCAAGGGGGCCCAGTCGTCTAAGGCGCCGCGATTCGCTGTGCAGAGTTGCGTCCCTTAAGCACGCCAGAAACCTATGATTGTGGTTTCGAATCCCGATTCGCCCCGATTATGTTTCTAGGTTTGTCAGCACCATACCTGTGCTCGTGGGTTTCACCGAAGTGGTAAACGTCTGAGACCTGCATCACTTCGGGCTTTCCTCCCACATTAAGCTGACAGGCTGTGATATAACTGGAATAATGTTAAAAGCGGCGTTAAACCCAACTCACTCACTCACTACCCTATTCCAGCGTAGGAAAATGAAATAATCAGTTTACTTTGTGCATATACTCACGCTGCCTAGAATGACATCCAATGAAATGGAGACGCATAAACAACAACACCCGTGCAACACTTGACTGCATCCTTCAACGCAAAGAATCGAAGAATAACAAGGCGAGATGTGCAATTGCCCAAGACAACCTTTATTACATCAATACATTACAAACAGACAGACATAATTATATATAGACGGTTTGATGTGTAATTATATTATTAAAGATGCGTTTCCTATTACTACAACCCTTGAGCGCGCCAGAAAATATTGATCGTGGGTTCGAATCCCGGTTCGCCCCGATTATGTTTCTGGGTTTGTCAGCACCATACCCGTGGTAAACGTCTGAGACCGGAATCACTTCGGGCTTTCCTCCCACATTAAGGTGACACGCCGTGATATAACTCGTCTACGGTTCAAAGCAGCATCTCTCGTTCCTTTTTTTGTTTTGCTCGTGTGAAACTGACCGTTTGAAACGTAATAAAATCACCCAAAACGTCCAGAACAACGCTAATTTCCTGAGAGATTAGTCATGTCTCTCAAGGGGTGACAAATGAAGCCTCCATAATTATATCTTTTCCTTTTTATTGTTATTAGATATAATCATATTGATATATCTACTGATTCCCCAATCACCAGATCCGAACTTTTTTAAAGCATCAGTGCCCTGAAAAATATTAAATCGGCTGGTCTTGACGATAATCTTAGTAAATATCTAAAATATTCGTCACCTTATTTACAAATCATATTTAACAGCATTTATCAAAACGGTGTTTTTTCCTGAATGTTGGGCTAATGTGATAATTATCACATTGCATTATCCTGATAACTATAGAGCTATAAGCCTCCTGAGTATCCTCAGTAAAGTTTTTACATCAATTTTAAACAGAAGACTAGTGTATTGGGCTGCAACACTTGACAAAATATCTGAATGTCAGTCCGGTTCCGAAAAGATTATTCAACTATTGATAACTGTTTTGTTTTAAATTCATTCAGCGTTATCTTTCACGCAAAGGAGGTAAATTTTATGCAGCATTTATTGATTTTTCTTTAGCATTCGACTCCGTTCAGCGCCATCTTCTATGGAAGCTATTGTACGAACATGGTTTGAGTGCTAAAATGGGTAAAATGTTACAATCCATCTACAGTAAAGTAAAAGCTTGTGTTCGTTCAAACAACAGAGTGTCTGGTATATTTGATTGCTTCATGGGTGTGAGGCAAGGGTGTATGCTTAGTCCTTTTTTTTAAATAAACGAATTGGTTACAGAAATGGAACAAAATTGTAGTTTTTTTGGTTACTTCTGGAATTTATTCATATTTTTCTACTTCTATCTGCGGATGACCCTATTGTGTTTGGCAGTTGACGACAACTTACAAATGAAGCTGAATATCGTGCACGATTACTGTTGTAAATGGGAAATGTCAGTGAATCTACTTTAAACAAAAATAGTTTATTTTAAAAATGGGGAAGGTTTATCACGTTTTGAAAAATATTATTATGATGGACATGCGGTTGAAGTAGTTACTGGATACAGTTATCTTGCCTTGTATTTTAGCTACAGATTACTGTGGTCGAAAGCTTTAAATAATATTGCAATTCAGGCAGGAAAGGTGTCCATGGTCCTGTTAAATAGTATACGTTCCTTGAAACCATACTCGCCTCACTTTTATTCAAAATTATTTGATGCAAAGATAACACTAATACTTTTATACGGGGCTGTAATTTGGCGTTTCAGTGACATAGAACCATTAGAAAAATTTCAATTGTATGCCCGTAATCGTCTTTTAAATGTAAAGTTATCAACTTCAAATAATGGGGCGAGTGTGGTCGATATTCTTTTCAGTCGCTTGCTGTTTTGAAATGTGTCAAATATTGGCTGTCTCTTTTCAATATGCAGGAATCTCGTTTACCCCAAAATGTTATAATATGTTGCGGTTGTACGATGAACAAGGCCACGTAAATTGGGTAACGAAACAAACTATTAATTTTTTATTAGGATTGCGCGATGTCAGGTACTTTCAAACATGTGGTAATAAAACCGTATTTTAAAATATGTTACGACAACGGTTAAAAGACAACTTTTTTCAGGTTTGGCATAGTGATTCATCTGAAAGCGCCCACAATGGCTTTTTATGCACAGTTTAAAACATCTATTGTATGTGAGAACTATTTGAGTAGTATTACTGTAAATAAATTCAGGACCACACTGACTCGTTTTCAGCTAAGTTCTCACAATTTAGACATTGAACGTGGACGACATTATAATATACCAGTCGCTTCAAGACTTCTAATATAACTTTTGAAGTTAATGATTTTTTTTCATTGACAATCAAGATGCCATGAGCTAAAATTATGGCGCCTCGTTTCAAGACGAGTGCCTCGTTTTGAGGTCCATTCTGTGACGTCACGCGACATTCGTGGAGACGCCCAGGGATCACGAGTTGAGAAGTGCGGGAGATTCAAACTCGTTTTTCCAGACAACCAGCGGCATATCAGCAATGACAGAGACAAAGTTGACAGCCTCTGGGGCAAAGCTTTACCGCCAGGGATCAGCATGGGAGACCCTGGACGAGAGATACAAGAGACTTGCTTCAATCACCCCTCTACCCTCCACACGCAGGGGTGAAATCCTGGTAGGTTCACGGGCTTATGGTTTGAAATAACAACGCCTGCCCTAAATACTGATATATTTTCACGCATACAAGCTTGTGAATATGGATTGTTTGTCCCTTTGAATATTGTTTTGTGTACAATTGTTCATTCATCTTGTTTTCAACTCTAAAATTAATGTCAAAGAGTGGAAACAACATCTTTAGAGGTAAACAGGTCCCCATGATTTCTACCCCCAAGATAAACCTTTCAGGGTTTTACAGTTAAAATCAGTAAATAACAGCTCTTATTATATCTTAAACGTGCAAATGAACAACACCACTATTGTAATGACAGGTCGTATAAGAAAAATCAGACGAATTCGAAATGCAAGTCAATGGGCCAGTTAAATATCTGCCTAAATTGTTGAGTTGCCCCGATACTTCTCGACAGCATGTAGGTAGTTTGACAATGTTTCTATAATTTGTGTGTTTTCATTTCTGAAAGCATCTCTTTGAGGATGTCAACATTTTCACAAATACAGCTAGGTTGTGTGCGAGAGTATCTATCTGAAAACTTAAGGAATTAAGGTTTTTTTATCTGACAGCTCCTCAAATGCTATCCATATATTGAACTTCGTGATAGGATATTGTATTAACAATGGGATGCGTTGAATCCAAGAGGATAATTGTTTCTATGTGCATAATAATTATGTTACACCTGCCTCCCTACACAGATCGAGACACTCGGCGAGAGGATAGCTCGGATATCAAAGCAGCAGAGAGAAGCCCGACGCCGTGATCGACTTGCAGCTGAAGTGGGCGTAAATATCTTACATATGGTAGCATGCATGCATACTGGGATAGGTCGAAAATAATCTTAGGTTATCATCGAGTTAGTCCGCATTTAATATAATTTTATGGTATTAACCTATGCTTGCGGGTTGTTTTAGAATGAAATATTGTTTCAATACATCTAACTTATTTTCTGTTAGTTATGAACTACTAATACAACATTTTAATTCAAACGGAACAACCCAACTTATATAATAGTCAGAGAGAGAATTATTACATCGATTGCAAACAAAAATCTTTCAGGGGTTCACAGGGTTGAGTGAAATTCGGGTGTAACTGAATACTAATGATAACGAGATTCAATCTAAAATTAACATATACTACTCAAAAGAAGTTAAGGAACACCCAATTCATGTTCTTTCTAGTAGTATTCATAATAGTGTCCGGGTTGCATTAGTGTATAGTTTATACTTCTTCTTTTTTAAAAATGGTTCATATTTTGATTAGCTTTATCTTTTATGGTGCTGAATCCACGTGTTTACCAATTTGTATTCGCTGGATGGGTTTTTACCTAGTTCTGATTTTCGCGTCCCGACACCATGATTGTGTGTGTTTGTTTGTTGTTTGACGCCGCACTCAATATTCCAGCTATATGACGGCGGTCAGTAAATAATCGAGTCTGGACCAGACTATCCATTGATTGTTATCATGAGCATCGATTCACGCAATTGAGATACGATGACATGCATCAACCATGTCAGCGAACCTGACCACCCAAACCCGTTAGTCGCCTCTTACCACAAGCACAGTCGCCTGTTAGGCAAGCATGTGTTGCTGAAGATCTATTCTACCCGAGATCTTATTGAATGACTTAATTGTTGAACTATGTAATTTTGTTGTAGGTTCTATCCCAAATGGACCAAGCTGTCGGAACCATCGGCCTGCAGGGGACGGATCAGCCCCGTCCAAGAGTCATCAGGTCAGCCAGAGCCAGAGGGGCAGTCCCAGGATACCCCTATGGGGAGTTCCTTCACTTTGAGCGCGGACCTCACAAGGGCCGTAACTTTGACACCATCATGGACCCTGTTGTCATCAGGAGGTCATCCTACGCCCGTGGAGCTCCTCCACCCATTGTCACATTCAGCAAAAGGGCCCAAGAACTCATCGGGGACTTCTAAAGACATGCAGGTGGGTCTTCTTTGGGAAGGAGTGGTTGTTCACTATAGAGTTGCCATCAATGCTGTTTGTGATAGTGTTCCCCTGTCAGCTTTTGCAAGGAAACAGGAGAGCCCAAAGCGTAGAAAGTGGTGTTGGTTTAACCCTGCACTAGTAAGATGGTGGCCTGTCCAGAATCGAATCTGGACCAGACAAACCAGTGATTGATGTTATGTTTGTTTGTTTGTTGTTAACGCCACTCAGCAATATTCCAGCTTTATGAAAATAAATCGAGCCTGGACCAGAGAACCCAGTGATTGACATCATGAGCATCGATCTATGTAATTGGGATACGATCATCGATGACATGCATCAACCAAGTCAGCGAGTCTGACCACTCAATCCAATTAGTCGCCACTTACAACATGCATAGTCGACTTTTCATGCAAGCATGGGTTTTGAAGACCTTTTCAAATCCTGATCTTCACAGGTAGAGTGATTTTATGAGTAACGCTCTACGTCACTTTGGTATGATGACACGCAATCCACCAAGTCACCAAGCATGATCACCAGTGCATTAAGTTGCCCTGTATCACAAGCATAGATTTTAGCTTATCAAACTATTTAATGAACCAACATAGGGATAGTGTCACAAGGAAGCCAGTCTAGGATTTGAACAAACAATAAACAGTTTTGAGCAAATAGTATATTCTATGTGGGCTGAATATGACCTAGGTGTTGGTATTCAACCAGTTGGTTGGTTGGTTTGTTGTTTAACGCTGCACTCAGCAATATTACAGCTATATGACGGCGGTCTGTAAATAATCGAGTCTGGACCAGACAATCCAGTGATTAATATCATAAGCATCGATCCACGCAATTGGGATCGATGACATGCATCAACCAAGTCAGCGAGCCTGACCATCCCATCCCGTTAGTCGCCTTTTACGACAAGCATAGTCACCTTTTACGGCAAGCATGGTGGGTTGCTGAAGACCTATTCTACCCCGGAATCTTCACAGGTCTATTCAACCAGTAATCATATCGTATGTCATGCTTGTATGAAAATCAAATGTTGTTGTGCTACTGCATGGATACCCCTTGCATTGTCATTCTTGTGGTTGAGTATTGTTCTCCTTTACTGAGCCCTTTGGTAATGTTTCTATCATTCACGTCCTTGTGACCAGGGTGCCTTTGTACAGAGCGATCTTAGCGCTAAGGAGATCGTAACTCCCATACCTTAACATAGACTTACGACAGTCGTAGCGCTGACGTTGTTTTGAACAACGGCACCCAAATAGTTTTTTCGGGTTATGATGGTGGTATCCATACAAATTTGAAGATCTTCAGTATTGATGGCCATGCTATTGTAAAATCTAGGACATGAAGGAAATATGCCAGGCCTGTAACCTCTCCACAAACATCTGAATCTTGAACATAGGTTGAATATGTACAGGTATGTAATTATCAGGTAACATACATATTAAGAAGCAACCCATGCTTTCGGTAAAAGGCGACTATGCTTGTCGTAAAAGGTGACCAACGGGATCGGGTGGTCAGGCACACTGACTTGGTTAATGCATGTCATAGTATCCCAGTTGTGTGGATTGATGCTTATGATGTCAATCACAGGATTGTCTGGTCCAGACTTGTTTATTGACAGACTGCTGTTATATAGCTGCAATATTGCCGAATGTGGCATTAAATAACAAACATATTGAGAATTTACGTTTTGGAATAAAATATTTTATGTTTGACCTGAGCCATCAAGATGACATCACAGTACATGTATTTTTTGTTTTGAGAATTGTATGTATCTTGGTATATGTTCTATAGTACAATGTCTTGTTTCCAGAACTAACTCCTCCCTGGACAGGAGGTGAATACAGAGATGGCCGTGTACATCAGTCTGTCCACCAACACCATCAGAATACACAGACTACAGCCACTCAGCATCAGCTCAGTATCAGTGTAACAGTTGAATCTTATCTCATGAACACTTGTGCATCTTTGTGCTTTTTGTACATTGTAAATTTGCAACGATGGATCACAGCGATGGAAGAAAAATAATATTGTTTGCATCACATGCATATTAGGTGAAGCTGTTTATCCACTATATATCCACACAAAAATATCTTGCAGCTTGTCATTGACAGCAATTGTTTTCTTGAAGTAAGTAAGTTTTGTTAATGTGATGCAATGAAAAGAAATGTGCAAACAAACAAAATAAAAAAATGATATAGTTTGATTGATAAAAAAATCATAAACAAAACATATTACTTTACATAATATTTTGAGTCAACTATTTACCATGTTTACCTGTACTTCCTTTTTGTACACTTGAAAATAAATTTAACCAATTAATATCAGTATTGATTCAATTAATTATGTTTGAAGTGATGTAAGGTTTTAGATGTACATTTTGCTCAAATAATAAAAAGCATCTGAGTATGTATGGCTGTGAGTACTAACTCCAGCTAATGTCCTGTGAAGATTCTGGGTTAAAAAGGGGCCTTCAGCAACCAATGCTTGTCTGGCTTGTGGACTTGGTTGGTGCATGTCATTGTATACCAATTTCAGAGATTGATGTTCATGATGTCAATCACAGGACTGTCTGCCTGGTCCAGACTCAATTTCTTATAGACTGCTGTCATTTAACTGGAAAATTGTTGAACAAGCAAAGCAAAAACCAAAACTGCCACTAATAAAGGGCTGGTTAGGGTTCTTACTGTGGGGAATCAAACCCAGGCCTTCCGTTTGACAAGTAAAGGCTTTTGCCACTAGAGGGACTGACAGCCCTACTGAAAAACACTGTGCAATAATGTAATTTTTGTGGCTGATTATTCCCCCCCCCCCCCAACCATAAAATTCTACACACTAGTTGGCTTCACTTCAAAAGTACGATCCAAGTAATCTCCCCTTGGAATGCATGGCCAAGCCATTGTATGCACAGTACGAAGGGACCGTCCTGGTTTTAAAAGGACTGATTACAAGACACTGTTGCTGTTTCTTCTTATATGTTTCTTTATTACCATATAAAACTGAAACATAATTCTCTCTGTATGTTCATATTCGCTAAACACTGTCACTCAACACACATCTTGAATAAATTGTTGTCTATGTCTCTGACACAAGTCTGAACTTCCCACGTAGTGGTGTTGGAACAACATGGAAGAACTTTTTGTATATCACAGCCCCTTCTTGTACAGGGGCATACATTGGACTGTCTGGGAAGGGAGATAACTGCTCTGCTGTAACCATCACATTTCCATCTGTCATTGCATAGAGGCTGTTACCTCGTTTAAATTCAACCTGAAAAAAAAGCATATGACATAATATTCTTGGTGATAATTATTCTTTTTTAATGCTGCATTCCTTGGAATACAACTCACTGTCACTTCCTTTCTACATTTAGGAGATAAACATTTATTTTCAGTTTTGTGATATTACCATGGTTACTTAGTAGTTGATTCTATGACTATCATGAATTTCATTTGAAACGATCGATGTATAAAGTTTTTCATTTGATTTCATGTATTATCATGCTGACATACATTTTCTCCTGGGTAAAACCTCATAGCCTTCTGTTTGACTAGCTGTTCTCCTGCATGTACGAAAGCCCCATCTTGTCTCTTCCATCCCAGCCGTTTCCCAACTGTACGTCCTGGTTTATTACTGATAGCTGCTCTCTGTGCCATACGCCTGACAGGGACTGCACTGACGACACAAGGTGTTCCTGAAACAAATATTTACACTAATCTGACAAGTCAGCTAAGATGGTGAAAGCATGTTTTGATGGTCAACAAAGAAGCAACCCACAACAATTTGTATCTAATTGATGAAACGTTGCTCATTTGATTTCAAATGGTTATATAGCAGTTATCAGTGTACACTACTCGTATCAAATGGCAACTATGATAGGCCTATATGTCTATAGTTGTTTGGATACAAGTTAGTGCTCATTGAGAAGGTAATCATCCCCGATTGTTTACTCAAATTCCATTAGATTCATTTGTTGATGACGCCAGATAACCCATACCCTAACAGGCCTAACTAACAACTAACCCTAATGATGGTGAAGGGATATTTGATTGGAAAGGAGTACGTAACCCTTACGATAGTAAACATGGTACAAAGGTGAGCAAGAGGATAATGACTGAGTTGGGGTAACCTACCCTAACCCCGACACAACTAACCCTAAGGATCGAAGAAGCAGGGTCGGAGCCAATTAGCGCATTACGCTGCGACCGGTTGAAGTCTTGCCACCCGTTTCATACTGGCATAATATATCTAGGTTACCAAAAAACGACCTGTCTGTCAAAGAAACATGCGCGAAAACTATGTACATTCCAACAATCTACAAACTGAAATGAGGCACGTGAAACACGATTGTCTTTCACTTGGTCATGCTCTGGATTCTGATCGTCATCAACAATAACACTGTCAGAAAGCACAGGTCATAGTTACCAATGATTTTCCTAGTAGCAACTGACAGAAGCTGCGACGCAGCCCGGTTCGTGTGCGCAGCCATCTTGAAAGAACCCGTATGTTGTCATGAAACTAAATAGATCGCATGCACCATTACAAAATGGTATTCCAAGCAATGTAAAGTCTCTACCAGCAAATAGGCATATTTAGTAATTGGAGATACAATTGCAATATAAAATTATCAGAACATATGCAGAAATCAAGCTCTATGAATACCGGAAAGCGGAAGAATATATATGGCGGGGAGTTCAAAAGCTGATATGGACAGATTCGCAGATGGATCTATGCTTTTGCAAGTGTCAAACGTATTTCCCGACATTGAGAGTGACATCATCAGAAAAGACCTCAGTTTTACCCACAGTGCAGAGCAAACAATCAACAGAATACTTGATGGAACGGTACTGAGTTCGAGCACTAGTCGTTTTAGGCCTAGATTGCCCAAGTTGGTAACGAAGTCAGGGCCCGAGGTTATAAAAAAAACTTCAATTTTTTTATCTAGTGCTGAGATTATCACAGAAAATAGATTTGATAGGATGATATGGAAATTGTTCAGAATGACACTCATTAGATCAATCTTTGTAACAAACCACGGAACAGGTAGGCCTAAGTGTATCTGATGGTAGGTGGCTGCAAAGTCGTGAAGGTACACCTCCACACCAAGATATTCTCAGAGCTCCAGATACCTTTTGGAGCAATTGAGTTTTTTCCTTGAAGGTTTCTTATTACATTTTTCATTATTTTTTTACTCATCTGGTCATCACTCTATTGGGTTTTACCCAAAATGAGTAAGCATTTGGAGATTTTTTCTAAAATGAAACAATGTTTTATATGTATATAACGGTTCTAAGTAGATCTATAGGCTTGCCGCGGAAAGTTCATAAATTGTGTTTCGGAAGTTAGCTCCATTGTACACATGCTGGAAAAGCTTCATTGGGTATTTACGCGTGATGTTTTCGAACAATTGAGTTTTTCATTTAATGCATGCATTTATGTACGCAAGTTAATTCAAAGTAATTGGGTTTTGAATAGTTTTGGGGGGTAATTTACACAAATAAGCAGCTTATCTGTAGCTCTGTATTCTTTACTTTGCACTTTTGCAGAGATTGTGAAGATGAATACAAATTCAGCATCAGAAGTTAGAATGTTAGAAGACGTGAATCATCGCTATGTATTAGAGACCAGTGGATGTCGGATAGTAAAAGCAGAGCAGTACACAGTTACAATTTCACAACTAGCCCATGGGATACATATGGCCTGTCATAGCATTTTTATTTGTATTGTACAGCTACAAATTCTTGTAAACAAACATATTTATTTGGCCTGCATCTTACCCTTTCAATGCACAGCCCATGATATTTGGCTCTGGGAGTATTTCTAGAAAATGCAGTGCTACTCTTGGTTTTCTGCTTTATGCTGAAGGTCATCCAATCTGTGCATGTTAATTGGTTGTACTATTGCGCAGGTTTAAGTGTAAGGACTAAAGCAGAAATAATATATATACAGTAAATTACATTTATAACAAACACACTTATAAGAAACTGACTGATATAACAAACTTATTTTCAGTCCTGGCCATTGTTGTATATATGCTTATAATACACTACGGTTATTACGAAATAAAATTAGTGGTCCCTTTGAGTTAGTTATGACGATAGTTTACTGTACTTTCAAATGGGTATTATTGGTGATGCAGCAGTACCCAAGAACCAATATGATCAGCCTAACATTTCCTTGAAACATGTAATAATGCTTATTTACTTTCATCATATGAAAAATGTATATTTTGAATGGATTATGATCTGTAGAAATATAAATACTTGATTTGTTTCAGATTATTCAGTCAAGCCCACAAAAAAATAACAGCAGTGGAAGCTATGCCTGCAGCTCTACTGATATCAACAGTGATAGTGACCTTGACCTTCCACCTTTAAAACTGAAGGTCAATCCTCGGTGTCCGCCAAGGGGATCCTATGGAAATGCTTCAAAGTATGACAATGATGTCATAGACCTCTCACAGGACGATCACAGTGACACAGATGTTAACTCGGACAGTGACCCAGAACTGCCAGATTTAGATAATCCGACAGGAAAACATAACAATGATGAGAGTAATGTAGATTCGTCAAATCAGATTGAGAACATCAGTGCAGCGAAAACACGCGAGAAAAATAATTACAATTTGAAGAAAACCTCGAACACACATACTCATACGGATACTAGTCATAAATGTAATGCTAATTTGTGTAGTTCCGAAACAGCATGTGATTTAGCAGGTGACCCGAGTTCCAAAATGGTTGAAAATGATTTCAGACCTAATTTCTCTGTACACATCAGTGATGATTCAGATGAGGATTATGGACCACTTACCAACAGACTTGGCTTGGCAGAACGATGTGGTCTAGGGGCCAAGTCAAGGCTCTTCACCAAAGTGTCGTCTGCTGCTTCAGATTCAAAAGTTGCACAACATGAACGAGATGCAAGTGACTCTTTTGGTTCAGTTCAGGGAGTCAAAAGGAAAAGCAACATCCTTGTTGACTCCAACCAGGCTGACCATAATTGTGAAGATGTCCCTCAGAAGAAAGCCAAGAAGAAGCGAAGCCCTGAGGAGATTGCTGAGAGCAAACGACTGGCTGAGGTACCGAGAGAGCAACAAGTTTCAGTGATTTGTCAAATTCATTGTTTGGTCATGGATAACACAAGTTCTCCTTCACATGAGTGTGTGAGTGAGTGAGTTGGGTTTAACGCCACTTTTAACAGTATTCCACTTATATCACGGCGTGTCAGCTTAATGTGGGAGGAAAGCCCGAAGTGATGCAGGTCTCCGACGTTAACCACTTCGGTGAAACCAACGAGCATGGGTACGGTGCTGACAAAACTAGAAACATAATCGGGGCGAACCGGGATTCGAACCCACAATCAGGTTTCTGGCGTGCTCAAAGGATGCAACTCTCACAGCGAATCGTGGCGCCTTAGTCAACTGCCACCCGTGCCCCCTTCTTCATATGAAACACATTGTTAACATGGTTGATATAACACGTCCCAATGTATGTGCATCATGACTAGATATCTTCATTAGGCTATAATAAACTGACTGTCTGATATTTGCTGAAAATCAAGAAATGTAGACATTGTTGTTTTTTCATTTTCTTTATAAGATAACAATTTCATTGTGAAAATTCATGGTAATAATCTAAATTTGAAAGCTGAGAGATTTCAGCAGGTTGGTGTTTTTATGTAAATTCATTGTTATACTTTTTGTCCCTAAATTCATTTATGAAAATAAAACCCAGAAGCACCCAATACAAATTTAAGATAAGTTAATTTGTTGAGATTGAATGTTGTTTTCTTTTCTTACATTTGCTGAAAATGAGAAGTGCAAGTCAAAGGGATCTTGTCATAATTCTCAAGTTAAAGATCAAAGAATAAGGGAGACCCAAAATTCAAATACTGTATGAAAATTTAAAAAGGACCCCCCCCCCCCCATATTTTTAACACTGTGGTGCTGCTTTTGCAGGAGAAGCGTGCTGAGCGTGTCAGGGCCCTGGAGGACAAGAAGGCTCAGAAACAGCGAGAGTCGGACATGAAGAAGGCCTTACAGGAGAACAAGAGGCACTACAGGGCCGGGGACTGTGTCAAGGTGAGGGGCCAGCCAGAGCCCTGTCCATAGAGCCATTTTAGCACTGAGATGATCAAACACCCATACAATTACATTGACTTACAATACCAGTAGTTTTCACACAAAGATCACTCTTTGGGAAGGTGACCAGTATTGGGAGTGAATACCTTCCTTCTCTGTCCTGCATTACTGCTTAAAGATGTTCATGTATCTCAGCTGGTATGCACATCTGATTGCTAAAATATTATCATTATAATTCTGATCATTTTACTTGCCTGGTAATTGACATGTTTATCATCCCATCTAAACTGTGGACTCTTTTGTTTTGTCCAGTATCTCACTGTGTCAGTGGATCCAGGGGTCATCAACAGTGGTCAGCTTGGGGCGGGTATCTTCAAGGCCTGTGGGGATCTTGGGGCCAAGTGTGTGACTGAGCCCCAGTTTGTCCCTAACACCATCACATGGAAGAGGGAAGTGCTGGACTGTAGTCAGGTGAGCTATCCCCCTTAGGTGCTGGACTGTAGCCAGGTGAGCTATCCATCCCGTCTGTCCTCAACACCCCATGGAAGAGGGAAGTGCTGGACTGTAGTCAGGTGTGCTATCCCCCTCAGGTTCTTGACTGTTGTCAGGTGAGCTATACCCCTTAGGTGCTGGACTGTAGCCATGTGAGCTATTTACACACACACACACACACACACACACACACACACACACACACACACACACACACGGAAGAAGAGAGGGGTAGTCATTTGAGTTATGTCCTCAACACCACATGGAAGAGAGATATTGCTGGGCTGTAGTCAGTTGAGATATTTATTATGTTCATCAGATTGTAAGAAATATATATTCATATATATTTATGAATAAAAGTATGTGTGAACATGGTCAGTGACTGGAATTAGGAAAAGGAAACATGGTTTCTCCATTGTGTGTACAGGCTACTGCAGTGAAGAAGGAGGTGGTGGAAGAGGATGTCCTTGCAGTGATTCCTACACACGACTTTGTATCCATGGTAACAAACTATACACAGGTGAGTAGAATGTAGAACAGTTCACTAGAATATTTAAGAATTGACTTTCACTTTGTGTGAGTGCATTGGAGTATGAAGATTCATATGAAATGAATGTCAATTCTTATAAGTTTAAACTTATTTTAAAACTTATTCAGTCTCACACTATGCATTTCACCCTTCTTCTTCAATCCTGGTGTGGAAATGCTCCTGAAACAAGTTTCCAGCTTAAAAGAAAATCTCATCCCAACTCATCCCAGTCGTAACAATGGTCACCCTATAAACAATGGTCAAACACTGCCTGAATCCAATGCAACCTGATCACCTGAGGTACCCAGCATACTCCTCCTCTTTCTAATCACCTTGGTGTATAAATGTGTTTAAACTGAAGAGAATTATGTTGGTTTATTTTCTGGTTCTTTATAATAGTCTGTCACAATACACAATCGCACAGAGGTTATGGAGACAACGCCCTACTTGTGAGAAATGCAGACACCCTTTCTCCGTGTATGACCCTTACTCGCTATGTTGTGACTGTTGTGGTCTATGCTCCTATAAAGAACATGTCAACAGAGCATAACTCTATCTGAGACGGTCTTCAGATATTACATGAGGAAATGTCAAAGTGAAATAACGATCACTGTTCTTAATCTATGTTGAAAGACATGGAACATGGCCCTTCTTTGTCCATGAAACCTAAACTGACAACGTTATCAGCAATTAAGTTCTGTAAATCTGGAAAGTTTTCGCCATGAAGTTACAGTGAGCAATCTCATTCAAAACTTTCGCAAACTTTGACCAACCACTGAAATGAATAACAAGAAGTCGACATCAGCCAATTAGAAAGCAGCTTTCTCGAGCTTTATGGCACTCGTTTCAACCTGTCGACTTCCATTTCAGACTACGCTTGAAAAATATGTTGACACAGTTCTCGATTAAAATTTTGAAAACTGAACAAACGAACATTCCGGAATGTCTAATATATGGTTGAGATTGTATGGCAGTGCCTCCCACATGCTGTGCAACGCCTCCTCCGTTCAAATGTTTATCCCACGGAAGCGAGACATGGACAATAGTTTTGACGGAATCAGTCGTACGGGCCGTAACTGTCGTTCGGAATACCCCGTGTTAATGTTTTCGAGGTTGCATGATTAGATAAACATTTTGACTGTCACTTTCATGATCTGGTAAGCGACCTTTGATTAGTTGGATGCAAGGTTGTTCTGACGTGACCCGTAATGGGATGTCCTCAGATCTTTGTTTAGCGATAACGAGAACTAAGATCTGATTTTAATGAGATTGTTACTGCGAGTGGCTAACAACAGCCTTAACTGCGTCTGTAAAGATCATCTTACTGAGGCAAGAGCGTCTACTAGCCTTATTATCAAAGTCATGATTCCACCCTTGCCACATCAAGCCCACTTTCCTGTGCTAAACATGTTTGGATCACGCACATATTGATAGTCCAATCAGAGAATGTTGCAAAAAATCAACATTCATGACTGGTACACCTTCTGTCTTTGTTGACACGAATATGTCTTTTTATCTTTTAAACCCCCTAACGATTGCCTATGTTTTTGTGTCAGGAAAGATATCGCGAGGAGAGTCATCTTTCCTCCCCACTAGTTACTCTTGAAGATCTCCGTAATCTGCAGGTTACCAAGCGCGTAACCACCCCACTATGATGGCCTTAGTGCTCATCTAACTGCAAGAATCAACTACAATCGACTGTACAAGTGTGCTCCCGTCGGCATTCATCAGACAAAAGACGAAGTAGCGAGCCTCAGTATCAGACATTCCAACAGTCGACATGGATCTAACAATCGACTTGGATCACCCAATTGAAATGGTTGGGACACTCGACATGGATTAAACGATCGCCTTTGATTCAACATTCAACATGGATCGTACAAACGTCACAGATCTGCCAATGTTGTCACCCCTCTTCCAGGAATCGACATTGCCAGGGATCGGTTGATCCATATCGATCGTACCATGGATATGGATCAACCTTTCAACTGGGTTGGTCGATCAATGTGTCAAAGTCGGTGACCATCCCCACTCAGTGCCTCCAATTCACATGAACGCTGTTCGACACCCAAGTGGTGTTTGCCTCCCACTCCCTCAGGGACATCTCAGTCTCGGATGCCCAGGGACTCCATTAGTTTGGACCAATAGTCCTGGCCCAACAGCAGTCTGTCAGCGCAGATGATGAGACCTGGTACCAGCATTCTACAGAATCGTGGGTCGTATCTTGTGATTACGGAAATAAGTAATTGCATTTATTTCACTGATTATTATTCTTTCATTCGGGGCCCAGACTTGAGTTCCCAATGGAGGGTTTATATACTCTTTTGAGAGACTTTATGTCTTCATTATGGACGTTGCCATTAGGTGCAGCCATTTGTATAAATGTTGTCCCGAACCTCTTCCTGCTAAGTTCTTTCTCATCACGTTAGTCTCACTAGTTCCCATACAGGTATTGTCGATTGTTCCATCTTCTCGTTCGAAACCTGCTCAATCTGTGTGGTTGTGATTGAAACAGTTGATCTAGCTTAAAAAAGAGATTCCAAGCTGGCCTACCTTATGTCCGTCACACATATTGTGTCTTGTAGAACTTACTGGGTAAACAGGGTAGGTTAAGGTTGTGGCTGAATAGGCTTCCCCTGCTTCAAAACTACAGGGTTGCTCAGTAGATCGACGTCCTGTGCGAAACCAGAGAACAAGAGTAACTCGATTTCATGTCAAGTCTGTTAAGTAACACAAAGGGGTTTTAAGAAGCAACCCATACACTAGTGTATCCTTTCCCACATTAAACCTTGTGACAATCATCAGATTGGATCATACTTTAGAACCAGCTTCCTCGTGTGCGTCTCACAGTTGAGGTATCTGCGACCCAGCTTCCAACCGTGGGATAAATGCATAGTGTGAGATAGTAAAAATTTAAACATTTGAAAAGTTTACAATAAATTGTATATTGATAAACTCATCCTATCTCACATGCTAAACACCCACCCACCCATCCCATCCCTGCATCACGGTTACACCAGCCTGTATGCTCTAGAAAGAAGGGACACAGGTGGCCCAGTCGTTTAAGGCGCTGCGATTCGCTGTGCAGAGTTGCGTCCCTTGAACACGCCAGAACCCTCTGATTGTGGGTTCGAATCCTGGTTTGCCCCGATTATGTTTCTTGGTTTGTCAGCACCATACCCGTGCTCGTGGGTTTCACCGAAGTGGTAAACTTCTGAGACCTGCATCACTTCCGGGCTTTCCTCCCACATTAAGCTGACACACCGTGATATAACTGGAATACTGTTAAAAGCGGTGTTAAACCAACTCACTCACTCACTCTAGAAATAAAATGAGTATGCTGGGCACGTCATATGATCAGGTCGCACAGGATTCAGGCAGTATTCAACCATTGTACATGGGGAGACAATAGTGATGACTGAGATGTGTTGGGATGAGATGGTTTTTTAAGCTTGTTTTAGGAGCATTTCCAAACCAGGATTGAAGAAGGATGAAATGCATAGTGTGAGATTGGAAAAGTATATATATATACAATTTATTGTAAAATTTTCAATATTTTCACACATCAAAGGATGTAAGCATAATTTCATTTTGTTAGTATGACATAAGTGTATGTATGCTCAAATTGTTCTACAGTAACATCTTTTGTAGATGGTTTATATAGATTCAAATACTATTTCCATTAGATAAAAAAGGTTTGTAAGGCAACTATCTAAATAAGCAAGTCACAGAATCACAGTTACACTGTGTTGTGATACATTCACATCAAGTACAGCGACTATACGCGTCGTAAGATGCGACTAACAGGATCGGGTGGTCAGACTTGGTTGATGCATGGCATCGTATCCCAAATATGTGGATCAATGCTCGTGATATCAATCACTGGATTGTCTGGTCCAGACTTGATTATTTACAGACTGCCGTCATATAGCTGGAATAATGGAGCTGGAGTGCTGTGTTAAGCAACAAACAAACTAAACATCAAGTACGAGAATGACCAACACTATCAACATGGTGGAAGAATTTTAAAAGTTGATACTGAACCTATGGCAATTACAATTGTTATTTATCATTACCAGCTCAAACTTCAGGAGAATTCAGAGAAAGTGTAATCTTCTTATTTATCGCATCAACAGCAGGTGGGACATTTTGAAATAATTATTTTCAGTGAATCGTCTGTTATTGATATGTGCCATTTTGTTTTTATATTCTGTCCAACCGCCCCTGTGGTCAAGTGGTAGAGTGTCCACCCAGAGAAAGGAAGGTCCGGGGTTTGATCCCCGGCCGCGTCATACCAAAAGACGTTAAAAGATAGTACTTGTTTTTACCCTGTCTAGCGCTCGGCATTACGGACTTAAAACAAGGACTGGTCGGCCCTGAGTCAGTATACTGTGTCTGAGTGGGGTATTCATGTTAAACTGCGGCATGGTATCTCAGTGTGCTAGCACTATACATCAGCATCAGCATCAGTCTGGACAAGTAAAAGCAGCCACACACACACACGCGTGCATGCACGCTGCTATATAAGTGCAATAATCTTGGATGAGACGTTAAACCCAATTTCACCTCACCTTATTTTGTCCACCAACTGCCTACTCCCAGAGTAGTCTCCCCTACACCAGTCTGTGTCACAATCACCTCCCAAACAGCCAGTAGTGAGGCATGTAAAATGAATCATTACATCCAAATGGTCACAGAATTCCTCTGATTACGATCCTTGGCCTGTCAGCACCCTATGGGTATAGCATGAGTGATAAACATATACCACCTGCATCACACTGGACTGAAACACGTTGATATCACCAATATACTCCAGGATGTTCATGTTCGCGTCTAGATGCAGCAGGGGCTCGGACAAGCTGGAGCCATGACGGTGAGGGACTACATCCAGACACTGCAGAGTGTGTATGCAGGGAAAGCCATATCAGTTTTTGTCATGGGAAAAGAGAAGTATTTTAGGTGAAAACACTTTCTGCGCATTTTTCCAAAATATTCTCAAAACTATAAAAAATATGATATTTTTGCTTGCTGAGGGATGGACCATGTCAATACATAGCATATTTTTGGTGTGACATATGGTGATAATTTGTACATGTTGTACACAGTTTGAATAAGAAGTATATTTCTGAGGAGAGGATCTTCACAGTGTCTGACGATGTCAATGTAGATATTGATAAGCAAAGTTGTGATGTTGCCAGTGATCTGAAGCTGTCTAACAAGAGGAACCATCGTGAGGCTGTGTTGAACGTCGGCGGTGGCGATGGACAGAGACCGAGGAAGACAAAGAAAGGCGGGTCGGACAGAGTGATATCCCGAGTTGAGATGGAGGAGGTGAGAGGAAGCATGGCAGCCATATTGAAAATTTGTTTTTTTGCACAGAACTCGGCCAGTTCTGTATGTATCATTGTGAAATTTGATGCGATATACAGTAACTTATATTCTTTTCATTGCATTTTTCACCTTCATGTACGCGAGTAACTGCAGTCGCCAGATTACCAGATGGCCCATTCGTCTCAGGCGCCGCGATTCGCTGTGCAGAGTTGCGTCCCTTGGGCACGCCAGAAACCTATGATTGTGGGTTTGAATCCCGGTTCGCCCCAATTATGTTTCTAGGTTTGTCAGCCCAATACTTGTGCTCGTGGGTTTCACCGAAGTGGTAAACATCTGAGACCTGCATCACTTCAGGCTTTCCTCCCACATTAAGCTGACACGTTGCGATATAACTGGAATACTGTTAAAAGCGGAGTTAAACCCAACTCACTCCCTAATTTAATGTGAATACAGGCCCTGATAGATGCACAGCTCCACACAAACTGCATCGTGCAGTTTGCAGAGACAAGCCAGGATGCAGCAGACCTGGTCAAGTCCTTCACCAAAGCTGTTGCAGACAAACCGGCCAAGTAAGTGGAGTTGATCAGTTGTGACCTGGTTTCTGTTGTTGAGATACCCATTTATGCACAAAAGCTTCTTCGATATTTCAATGCAATGATTCTGTACCCGTTATGCATACTTTGTATGATGGTGAAATTACTGGATGACTGTGTTAGCATGTCATTATTCCTAAGAATGTACCTCTGCTACCCCTGACAAAACTTTGTGTCCCAATGATATGAAGATATGGAAAATCATTGTTGGTTCCAGGAGATGGTGGACTAGCCTCATAGTCAAAGCCTTTGCTCGTCATACCCAAGGCGTGGGTTCGATACCTCACATGGGCACAATGTTTCGGCACCATTCTGATGTCCCCCACTGGGATATTTCTGGAATATTTCCAGGAGTATTATGACACCAAACCAACTCATTATTAGTTCCATTCAAACTAAGAATATTCAATACAAACTTTAAGTAAAGTCGGTACTTTACAAACTGAATGTCTTTGAGAAGCATTAAAGAAAATATCACCTGCAAATTTCATGTCTTGCTGCCTTGTAAACTTAAAAAATCACATTTTAACAAAGTCTGTTTAAAATATAATGAAACAAAGTCAGATATTGCTTTTTTCGCATGGTGTAACAATCTTTGATACGCTTACCCAGGAGAGATCGCCTGGAGAACGTATTTGACTTTCTGGCCGAGGGAGCTGCAGGGGTCAAGGTCGACAAAAATGGCAACGGGCTGCTCAAAGTGTGGAAACACCAACTGCTGCAATTTAAGAATGTTGGTCCGGACATGGCGGAGGCCATCATCGCCGTATACCCATCTCCCCGCCTGCTGTATGAGGTAACCACCTAGCTGCCTCATTGGCACAGTACGCCCAGCTAGATTTCACCATTAATCTCAATATGAGCTTATGTTATTGTGCTTGAATTGAAGGGTCCTTGTGTATGTGTTTATTCACAAATGGCCAAGATGCATCCAGTACTATTCCGGACTATGATTTATAGTGCTAGCCCGCAGTTTAACAAAATAAACATGAATACCCCACTCAGACACAGTATACTGACTCCGAGCTGACCAGTCCTTGTTTTAGCCCCTTAATGCCGAGTGCATGACAGGGTAACAACAAGTACTATCTTTTAACGTCTTTTGGTGGCCGGTGATCGAACCCCGGACCTTCCGCTCTACCACTAGAGGCGGTTGTGGGCTTTGTGTAAGAATCACACAGGGTACTTCAATGTTTATTCTACCTGTGAAGGTAGAATAGGTCTTCAGCAACCCATCCTTGCCATCATAGGTGACTGTGCTTGTCGTAAGAGGCGACTAATGAGATTGGCTCACTGACTTGGTTGCTGCATGTCATCATATCCCAATTGAAAGGATCGATGCTCATCGCGTGAATCACTGGATTGTCTGGTCCAGACTCGATTATTTACAGACCGCTGGAATATTGCTGAGTGCGGCGTTAAACAAAAAACAATCAAACAAACAATGTTTATTCAAATAAATGGTTTCTTTGGTAAAAGCATTCCAACAAGATGCATCCTTGATTTGTTGTGATATATACCCTGGACCCATTAGCAGTTCAAAGGACATCCAAAAATAGATGTCCAATCAAATTACACTGTTTATTCTAGACTATTGCTTGCCTTCGCAAATACTACCAGAACGTCTTGTAATTTGGAATTTGGGCAAACAGGCTAATATATTTCCAACAAGAAGAACTTAGAATGATCTTTTCAGCTTAAGTTTAAAACATGACATGCACTTTTTTACAGGCTTACAAGAGCTGTACCACTGAAAAGGAGGCACAGAAACTGCTTGAAAATATTGTGGTAAGTAATCTAGAAGCTGTTCTGGAGCCCCAGGTATTTATGTTCAACGACCCCTCGGGAATGGGGAGGTCAGACACTATGTAATGGACCAGCCATTCGATATTCGGGGGAGGGGGCTGGGATCTTGTATCGAGATTTGATATTTTTTCAGCTACAGCTACAGCTACAGATGATGTTTTTTTAAAAATATGAGCCTAAATTTTTAAGAAAGAAAAACGCCTTTCAACAATGTTATGTTTGTGGCAGTAAATTTCCTTTTTGCTCAACAGTCTGAAGCATAAATAGTTTTTTTCAATTATGTATTAAAAAGATTCGGAATATGACAGTTTTTTCAAGATTTTTTTTGGGGGGGGAACTTTTTCGAGAAAATCCCAGGCCCCCTCCAGAATTTGAAATGGTCGGTCCCTAACCTCTTCTTATATATCTAGAGGCAACCAGTTGAGCCAGTTGAGCCTGCCAGAACTTGATCCCTATAATCATGATGATGTATAATGGATGATGTGTGCTGAATTCCACATGAACTAACTCATTAAACATAGATGACTATGCATCATTAGATATACTCTACACCTCTGCCCTTATAATTGAATTAATTAATTGAGTAACAAACTATTGTATCAAACATGACTGTTTTACTAGTGAAACCTATCTACCCATCTCTCTCTATTCATGTAATGAGTAATAATTAGCAGCCGGATGAAACAGGATTGCTTTGACGTTCTATTGGAATTTGAGCACAGTTTCTGCTGTTGGTTATTTTTTCTAATGACAACTACACAAATAATATTTGTATCGGAGATGATTCTTCCAAATGGCCCTAGGGAACCATGTCATGAAAAGGTCAAAGGTCAAGGTCAAGGTCATGAGATAGAACCAAACCTGCCCAGAATCTTGTAAACTTTCTCAAAAAGTGTTAATGAATTTATCATTAAACTTGATATACCTTATTTAGGATGGGCTCTGCTTTCAGAAGGTTATATTATGAAATAAAATGTCAACTGCATTTATGTCATAGATCATGGTGACTTTTTATGTAATTGTTAAAACTAGTTGCATCATATTTTCTCTTGTAAATGGTGCCAACATTAGTGACATCCTATACTGGACTTATTTGACATGGGTGTGGGAAATCCTTTGGCACAGACTTACCTCTGTGGTCTACTAGATAGAGCATCTGCTCGGAGAGCGGAAGGATGTGAATTTGATCCCTGGCTGCGTCATACCAAAAGATGTTAAAAACATGGTACTTGTTCTTACCCTGCCTGGCGCTTGGCATTATTGGACTGAGACAAGGACTAGTCGGCTCAGAGTCAGTATACTGTGTCTGAATGGAGTATTCATGTTCAACTATGGCATGGTATCTCAGTGGGCAAGCGCTTTAAAATCGGCATTAGTCCAGGTCAGTACAAGCTCTCTCTCTCTCTCTCTCTCTCTCTCTCTCTCTCTCTCTCTCTCTCTCTCTCTCTCTCTCTCTCTCTCTCTCTCTCACTCACACACACACACACACACACACACACACACACTGAAAAAGCACACTCGAAAGTTTGTAGTTATACTTTATCAAAAGGTAATATTGGATATATTATTAACTGCTATGTACCTTCTCTTGGTTGGGGCTCTGTTTTGAAAATATTTGGGTCAACGGTCAAGCATTCAGGTTTTATAATTTGTTTGGTTAGTTGGTTTGTTGTTTAACGCCACACTCAGCAATATTCCAGCTATATGACGGTGGTCTGTAACTAATCAAGTCTGGACAAGACAATCCAGTGATTAACATCATGAGCATCGATCCAGGTAATTGGGATATGATGACTTGCATCATCCAAGTCAGCGATTCTGACCACCTGATTCTGTTAGTTGCCTCTTGCAACAAGTGTAGTCACCTTATACGTCAAATCTGGATTGCTGAAGAAGTATCCTAACCCGGATCTTCATGGGTCTCAGGTTTTTTTAATACAAGGTTATGGTCTCAGGTTTTTATAAAACATGGTTATTTCATTGTCATTTTCTGAGGGATGGTTACCTCTACAGCCATCAAACTTTACATTTGCATGTAGATTAGCAAAGTCTACCACTTTTCATGTTGGTGCTTTGTCCTGTCAAAGATCAAATTTGAGGTTATTGTGAAACATGGTTGTATCATTCATTGCCAGTTACTGTTGCACTTTTACATTCCAATCATGAGACTTGGGTAAATGTCTTGATTAAGGTCAAAGCTTGGAAGTAATGTTTTTGGACTGGACGCACATGGTGATATTTTCTGACTTTAAAAGATTTGAGGATATGGAAGGGGAGGGGCTGCTTTGGCTTTTGCAAGTCCAAGCGAACTCGTCTAGCATGTCTAGTTTGAGTCTTATTTTCAAGAAAGGAGTAAATATTTTTTTCTTCAGGTTCAAGGTTTCAGAATATGACAGGTTTTAAACATTCAGTGTTGGTCTGTCAATTTGCATGCATAATTACCTCATGGATAATCTTTTGGTAGCATTGTCCAAATTCCGCAGTGTGACACTGGAATTGCAATTGGGATCCTACAACACATCAACCTGGTTGTTTCATTTGTGGAACATTTTTTTCTTTTTCCCACGAATAGTTATGCAATGTTTGCAAAACTTATTTCAATCAGCTGATATATTGTCAGACAATCGCATGCATAACATTTGATATTGTCATGGGCACTTATTTCAATCAGCTGACATATTGTCAGACAATCTCAAGCATGACATTTGACATTGTCATGTGCACTTCAATCAGCTGACATATTGTCAGACAATCTCAAGCATAACATTTGACATTGTCATGTGCACTTCAATCAGCTGACATATTGTCAGACAATCTCAAGCATAACATTTGACATTGTCATGCGCACTTATTTCAATCAGCTGACATATTGTCAGACAATCTCAAGCATGACATTTGACATTTTCATGGGCACTTATTTCAATCAGCTGACATATTGTCAGACAATCTCAAGCATGACATTGTCATGCGCACTTATTTCAATCAGCTGACATATTGTCAGAAATTCTCAAGCATAACATTTGACATCGTCATGGGCCTAAAGTGTCAGACAATTTGGATCATGGTTATATAATATTTAATTCACAATACATCATGATACAGTAATACTGTCAGATGCAGTGTTTGATGAAAGAAATACAATTTACATCAATTGAAGATTTCATTTCTCATGATTTTAGTCAAACTGTAAATTGTCAGATGTAAGAGTGTCTAAGCATGACAGTTAGACGATAGACCTGTGGTGTTCTCATTTTCTTGATTTGTTTGTGAATACTTTACAGCCAAAAGGTTAGTAGATCATACCTGTAGGCATGCAGGATATAAGTGTATTGAAAAGCAGGGTTAACCTCATTTACCTGCGCTCACATTGCCTTGAAAATGCTTGTAGGAAGACTGAGATAGACGGCTTTCAATATGAGTCATGATTAGACATGTGTAGTCTTGAAACTTATACAGGTACATTGATGGAGTCATTGGGCATATACTCACATGTAATCATTCTCATTGAGTATTTCATAGACTAACATTTAGTCTTGGAAATCTTATATTACACAATAACCTTCTTGACTCTAAAAAAAAAATTAAAAATTTCCCGATGCTGTGGAATGGAGCTAGCTAGAGCTGGCTAGACTTGCTTTTGTATACGTTTCTAGATTGTTGTTTTTTCTTCATAAATTAATTATATTCAACAATCATGGTGCAGGTATTTCAGTTTTCTTTGGGTATTGATATATTTGGCTCCTTTCGACTCAGTCTAATGGGTAAAATGTAGGTCATTTATTATGCACTCAGCCTAATGAAAGGCCTCATTTGGTTTTGATATCTGTATGCATGCCAATTTTATGGCTTTTTGTCTGTTGTTTATGGGATAAAATTTCATGGACATTTTGCCTGTGCGTCCATCAGCACCAATTATTACTTCGGAATAATGACAAAAAATGCTTTGAATAAATATCTACGTTTCATTCTTTCAGGTGCGAAGAGGAGCTGGTGTGCTTGTAACAAATCGCCGAATTGGCAAAGAACTCTCAAGAAAAATTCATTCTTTGTTTACAAGTACAGATTCAGAATTTATCATAAAGTAATATAATTCAGTATTGACTTAGCGTGCATTAAAGAGAGACTAGGCTCTAGGTTGTCTTTCGTTCAAACTGCACTTTCTTTGTCAGCATGACTGTTAACTTCAGTTGTATGATTTGTTTCAAGGTCACAGTTGATCATTGTTAATTACCCTAATTACAGAGAAAGTCTCGGGTTTACACATGGAACTAAAAGCTTGGTCTAGACCAGGACTGGAAATGGGCCCAAATCATGGAGAACAGTCTCTCTTTAAGCATGTTAAGTGTAAATTACAGATTGTGTCACAGGTAGACAATTACATATGACTTTCCACATTGTCCAGGTCATTATCACCTTGTTTCGATGTCAGATGTCAGAAACACAATCATTACAATTATCTCAGTAAACTGTCAAAAGGACAAGTTGTTGAGAACTCTTTCTTTGTAGGGGTTACAGCAGTCTTGACGGGGTGTGATGACGTATTTAACACACACACACACACACACACACACACACACACACACACAAGGAAATATGGTGTCTTCCAATCAGTCTAGGTTTGTTGATGAAAATGATACATTCATTTATTGTTCATGTTCTTGCATCAGATATTAAAGCATATAAAAATACTCATTGTTTTGTACTCTGACTATTCAAACATGGAAAACTATTGTGTTGGACTCGGCCAGCTTCACCTAGACATATAAGGGTGATAGGTACCAATTAGCAGTCAATGAACCATGAGGTGTGTTTATTTAAGCAGTAGTCACAATGGGAGGGGTCGGCTCTATTAATGCCTACAGGGAATAATAACTACAGAGTATATTGTTTTAGTGCAGTGACTGTTACGCTTCCCTGCACACAGGTAGGCTGCTCCATACTTCTCCTTCTACTGTTGTCTCTCCAGTGTTTTCATGATCATTCAGGGCCTGGTTTGAGAAGGAAATGTACAGACTCAACAACCAGCAACTAACTTAGGGCGAGACAATACACCAACTGTGCGATCCTATACGTATCACGATACTTTGTTCACAATCTGATGTGTATCACGATACTTGTATGTGCTCTTATCTGTGGTGCATAAGCCATCTTTTTCATATAGAGAATAGTATATATACCTGGCACACTGATGATTTACAGTTGGCAGTGTCAAGTATGGCGCAGTGGATGAAAATAATTAGTGTTTGGTGTAACAGCCATTAAAGTAAACATTTAAGGTATGAATCTATATTTTTTACTTAGTGTGAGACTGTGATCAATACTTTTCTCGTGAAGTAAAATATCGCGATCCATTGATGCATCGGTGTATCATCCCAGCAGTAAACTAACTTGAGTGCACTGGAAATGTGTACAGATGATCTATGACGAGGGAATTGCCCAACTAGACACCCCATGAGGCTGCTGCCATCCCTTCCTATCATTCTATGAAGAGTGGATGGCACTCTCATTTTAAAAAGTAGTGCACATATTTGCTGTTGTCAAGGTGCTGCAGAGGTTGGAGAAGACCGAGAGAAACAAGTTGGCCCAGCTGATCCACAGTGCCCATCCCCTTCACCCTGCAAGGGGACTGACAATGAAATTGACCAGAAGCTGTCAAAACCTGTACTAAGCAGGATTGAAGACTCACTGCTTGTGTTTCTGACTAAAGCCGGACATTTCATCTCTTACTTACTGAGACTGTGTTATTGTATGTCTGAAAATGTCCCATGAATAAAACATGTCAAACAATGTCCTTAACCGTTTTAGCATAATAATATTATTGTAGGTATTTGTCCAGCAGGCCAAGGAGGACTATACCACTTTATCTCAAGGTCGAAGTAATAACTGAGAAAACCACTGGTGCATAAATATGGACAATTTGCCATCCCTGTATATGCCTCATCATGTATACTATTCAAAACAAGTTAAACAACGTCCACAATTGGGAGGCTGTGTGTTGCAATACCCACCAGCCATGACAGATTAACAGTACAGTTATTTGAAAAAAGTTGGTGTTCCTCTGAGTAGTTTACATCCCCAGTGATTGTAGCACATCATGCTACTGACAGTCTCAGATTTAGAGGATATTCTGAAATAAACTGGAAGGGAATGATCTGAGAATATAGACATTCTGCAAAGAAAACGATGGACATACAACGTTAGAACTGCTATTTGATACAAACTTTATTCCTGAAAACACAACAATTGTTGAAGACATCTTAACCTACACTCATGCAATAAAGGAGATTCACACTTTGATTTGTCATTATTTGCAGTAAAGTATCATGAAATACCACAGATCATAACTATTTTTCTAAGAAACATGTATTGCTCTTTTCAACATGGCAAAGATTTCTAGAATGTTTATTTTCTTCTGTTCTGTAGTTTCTTCTGTTCATACAACTTAAGGCAATTAAGTAGCACCTGGCAATTGTAAGGACTAGATATAATGGTATATGAATGTTACTGGCTATGGCATACTTTCATTGTCCAGTAGTCTTATTAAGTACCATGATTACATAACACTGAAAAGAAATTCACAAAAGTTCAACCTATGAATTTAAATGTGTTCTATTGGGTAACATAATTTGAATTTGAAACATGACAATAATGTTAGAATTTACACAATATTTAACTTCAACCAAGTAAACAATTAAATTCATGAATATGAGTTTATGAAATTTGAAGGATTTCTTTGAAACTAGTTTTCACAGAATATTCACATTTTGAAAGTTGATAATTGTGAGAAAAGGAATATCTGACAATTAATAGTAACACAAGAAATCATGATCATCAGATAATAAAATAACATATATTTTTATGTTTCCTAATTAAATTATAGTTTACTAGAAAACAAATTAAACATACAGTATCTTGGTCCCACAGTCTGGAATATTGGAATGGAAATACCCAAATGTGTATGATATGTTTTCCTTAGCCATATTGTTTCTGGTATTATGCAATATTCAAGTTGAATAATTAACACAAATTGGTCATATTGAACTCAAATAAACATGATAAAAGAAATGACCACTCAGTGAAAACTGATGTACCCTAACATGATTTGAATCATCCATATTCATGCACTTACATTTATCTACCATGTCTACATCAAATCAAATCAAACCATTCTTATTTTCGTCATGATGCGCATCATAACTGTCACTCAACCATCATTCTTTCATCTATTAAACTTTTTAAAAAATGGTGTAGATTTCATTCTGTCAAAATAACATGTTCAAATCATGAATATTTCATTAGAAAAAATGCCTTTTTTGAAAGATGATCCAACATGCAATCATCAGTTAATGAGACATGCATTCCTTCCTGAACAGGTTACTCCAATGTTTAAGCATTATGCACATGTACTTGACAGAGATAACAGAGGAAATGCTCTCGAATGCTCTCGAAGACCTACTCATAACATCATCAGTGAAGTATTCAATATGAAATCAAAAGTGAAACATAAGGACTTGTAATCTTCTCCCACAATGTAGCAACAGTGGTTGAAAACTGTGGTTACATTTCACTTCAAACACATTAAACAAATACTCTTGTACCACAACCATTAGATGTAATATAATTGAATACATGCTGCTATAATTTCACATTTGACTACAAATGCACAAAGAGGGTGAATTTGAATAATGCAATATGAGCATGACAAGAGAAAATAGGATAGATTAATATTTTTGGTTGAAGAAAAAAACAACATGACAAAGCTAAAACAGCCTTGTCACTCAGTTGTGTTGATGTATTTTGCAAAGGTGAACACGTTGGTGTTAAATGTCAAGTAAGTAATGTGACAAAAGAAGACAACATTAATGGTCCAACTGAAAATTAGAAAACAAGTCACACACCTTTTGTCCATAAGAGCTTTTGATTTCATAACCATCCACTATGTCCATAGTGTTATACACATAATATCACTGAAAACAATTTTTTGCCCAAATGGTTTTCATGAACATGATAAGGATCATCAATTACACAAATACATATGCCATCAACCTGGAACAGTTTCAAAGACTATCATTTTGGATAAATGCTATCCTGCTGACCTGTAAAGACACTGGCTTAACTAACCATGTGTTGCTGCCAGGACACAATATGAGCATAGATGGAACTACCGGTACTACCTCAAGGCTGTGTGACCAGTGAATGAGACTAAAGAGATTGTATGGGTTATCAGAATTTCAGGCTTATAGGCAGTGTCCTTACATGTTGTCACAATGTCGGGCAAGTAAATATTTCAGGTTATTTCCCATCGTTAAACTATGTGACCTAACTGACTGATGCATGCCGTGAACCACTAGTTTGTCTGATCCAGAGTTTATAACATTACAGACACTCAGGATATTGTGTACAAGTGCTGACCAATGTATAATGCTGGATACAGTCTTTTGACTACATAAACACCTCTTGTTTTGATATATTCATGAGGGAGTAGCTCTCATTGCATAGTGCTGATTTCAGTTCCAGACCTTGACATTAAAAATATGATCATATACATTATTTGTTTGGAACACTCCTATAATGTCAGAGTAAACTGGACAGAAACTTGAAATAGTAGACAATTGAAGTGTTCCTTTGATGACCTGATAATACATGGCAAGAACAGATATGTTTTGTCAGTCTGGTATGCTCATATATAATGGTATCTGGAGACATTTCATCCTTGTGTTATTGTTCTAATACATGACACCACTCTGGCTAAATAACACCAAAAGCTATTTTTCATGATTGTTCAAATAATCATTTAATGGTCTTATGATCTATTCATGGTTCTTTCAAAGTGTAAAAAACATGTCAGAAAATTGTTAGATACTGCTGCATTTCCTTATAATTCTATGACCTATGAAGAATACAACACCCTGTCTCTGACAAAACTACCAGTACATGGTTATCAACAGATACCTAAACTGACATTGCCCAAACTACCCTTAAAATATTAAATATGAAAATGCAGAAAACACTTAAAACATGTTAAAAGGAAAGATCATTTTGTCAAAACATTTCATAATTATAAATAAAAGTATGTGCAACAATAACTATCTCAAACAATGACCTAAAATCTGAAAACTTCACATCTGTGTAACACCACTGAACTGTTCAACTCATATAGTGCATTATCAGTAACTGACCAACAATAGCCAAATGAGAAACATCCCAACAACCAATATTTGAAACATTAAGGGTTGTAAACAATTGTGCACACGATGCTATAACTAAAGTTGAAATATAAGGAACATGAATTTCAGACATCTTGCAAGAAATGTAACTCTTAAATAACTGGTTTTCTTTGTACGTGTTGTAATATGTTTAAAATTGTTGAATATCTTAAGTTCTTTCAGAAGACAAACTACTTTTATCATGCATTGAAGTATCAACCTTGACAATCAACAAGACATACGGTACTAGTTATTAGTATAATTACTTTGAAATGTCATGGAGTGCATATCACCAATACAACATATGTGCATATCTAATCCCTTGACATATGAATCATTTCATATCAAGGACGTATCATTTCTGATGAAAGCAACATCATGATGATAGAGTTAAGATGTGTTCCATTCAATAAGTAACAGCTACCTTGGTATCTTTTTAGATGTTGAACATAAATTGTTCTGATAGCTGATATCAACTTCCTTTCAAGATATTTGAAAAACCTTATTTTCCATTTTGCATTGCATTTTCATTTTACAAGGCCAAATGGTATCTATCCATACAATGACATCTGATGTTGAACATCATCCATAGATGTGACACCAAACTTGTCTGGCTGGGTTTCCATCATCTTGAAGATCTGCTGCAGTTGATTTCGTTGAATATCCCGCTCTTCTTTCAATTGGTCTGCAGTCAACCCTTCCTCAATCTTCTTTGTAGTGACTCTTTGCTTGACCCGTTTCACCTCACCCTGAATGTGTTCACAGTACTCTACAGGGTCTCTCCCAGCCAAGCCGTCACCCTCTGTTAGAAACAAAATGGTTATTACTATTAGTCCAACAACTTATGGTACAATATCAGTGACAGAGCGAGTATGGTTTTATGCCGCTTTTAGGAATATTCCAGCAATATTACTGCGGGTGACACCAGAAATGGGCTTCGCACATTGTACTCATGTCGGGAATCGAACTCAGGTTTTCGGCGTGACGAGCAAACACTTTAACCACTAGGCTAAATATACAATTACTGCTCATATAAAGTTATATTATTTAATATCATCTGCTATACCACAATAGCATCATCCACAAACAGTGATTAAATTATTTATTTTCTACGCTAATCAGAGTCCAAAATTAAGCATGTTAAATGGGAACCTGGGGAGTTGGAGGTTTTCTGCTATCATGGTTTTGTAAAAAAGTTATGTAAAAAGCAGGATAAATGTGAGATGTTTAACGACTGGGTAAGTAGAACAACCTAAGTAACATTCTTAATTTTGACGCTGATAATTGAACCAGTGACACATTTACATTTATAGTATCCACCTCATGGGACACTGTAATCATAGTGAAGATGGTATTGGCATACTAATTATATATTTAAACTTGACTTAGGCACTGTAAACAAACATGTTATTTATAACAAGAGCAGGGGTTTCTTCAGAAAGAATCAATCCTTTTTCTCAATTTGTTGCTCATGATTTCTCTTAACATGCTACCAAATAAGTAGACAGCAAGTGATCAGCAATAACAAAATGCATGTATGAAGATAAATTTTAACTTTGCAAAATGAAGGTATTTCATCACTTGAAATTATATGATAAAGTAACAATGGTTGTGTAAATGATGATAATCAAAACACGAGAAGACAATTTCATATTGTTTGTATAACCAGTAACTTTGATTCATGTCCCTCGTTATATGTTCTCTGGTAATTTGCACTCAACCAGTGCTCTTGAACATGTTGAAGGCCAGTGCAAAATCAACATTAATTTAGTAGAATGTTATGAAGGCATGACATTAGCTATGTACATGATGTAATTATAGTGTCAGACAAGTGCAAGACTGATTGTACAATCAGTACAGTACGGCTCTACAAGTTTCAGCCATAACTTTTAGCTATTTTTAGCTTAGTGCCATTCAAATTGGGCTCAAAACTAACAATGGTGCCGAAAGAGTCCAGGGTGCATACATATTATATAATAGAATGGAGATGTCATACATGAATAATCAAGGATGATTTACCAGTAAACATGGTAAAATCATAAATTGTAAAATCTGAATATATGACTGATAAAACATGATAAAACAAAACTAACCATTAAATGTATTAAGGGACGTCTGTTTAGTACTAGTACTGGACCATCATGACTATGTTGCACCGTTAAACTCCCTGATTGTTGCCTCGATCTTACTATGTATGTTCTGGACTTTCTGATCTCATAATTAGCCAGTCCTCATATATCTCTCTATACTTTTGTGGCAACCAAAATTAACATTTGATTTCCCTTTAACATTGTTTAGTTCCATGAACTGATGAATGCAGAGTTAATTTTCAGGGACACAGGTTTAGAGTTGTGAAAATTAATCAGAATTGAGGTCAAACAGTAGTGTTGCTATCTATTACTGATTACTGTTGAATTATGCAGAGAAGCCGACTATAATTTTTTTATGCATATCTAATGCAAAATTAACTGCAAATACAAGATTGGTTTGAAAAGCAGACTGTGCTTATCAGCTATTTGTCCCAAGCATGACAAGTTAAATTCCCTTTGTGTAAAACATATGAAAAAAATATCCTGCCCAATTTACCTGAATAACAACCAATACAAAGCACCTGCAACTGTAAGGACAATATATATAACACCACATACAATACAAAAAAAAATACATTGAATTTACACTGTAATCATGGTAATGTTAAATGACGAAAAAGATGTATCATGTGCACTATAATTCATGGTAAACACACACACACAAAAGGAGCATAACTTAATACTGTATCACTCATGTGGCCCCATTGTTATATTGTTATAATGGAGTATTGATCTTATCTGTTTTAATGTCATGAAATAACAGAAAATGTGAGAACTTTGCATTAGACGTTGTCATGGCTTGTTTTACGTGTTGACATTGTCAAAGAAAGACAACACTGCTATATTGATTTGGGAATATATATATGCAATAATAATAGTTCACACACATCATGGTTTCTTGGACACTCCACATGAATGGTAACATTACTGCACCCCTGTTTACATTTTCTTGGCTTGGTTTAGTATGGCTTCATGGTATCCAAAATGTGCAGTATCTCCATGATAATAATTATACTTGAGCACAGACATGTATGATAAGACTACATGTATTTCCAAATTAAATGTATCAGCGATAGAAACTAACAGTTTTAGTTCACTAGTCCTTATAATGATAACCATGATAACATATTGCAAAACCTTTAAAATGGGCAAATTTCTACTACTAGTCCTTATGCATGTTATGATACCTTAACTATTGGGCACTTTGGCAAGGACTACAGAACAAGTGCCAATTTCTAACGCTGTGTAACCACATCTTAAAAAGGGTAGGTCGTACAGAAATTATTGAGGACAATAGACAAGCCTTATTATATTAGATACGACCGCTCTGAGTAAAAATATCTTGAGATGAATGTGAATAGACATAGGCCTACTAGACTACAAATAAGGTGCAAAATGCAAGTAATTAGCAACCACTCTTCTCGTATCTAATGACGAGGACTACATATATTACAACATTATTGAGTCCTCTGTTGATAAGCAGTACTCAGATGGTAAACCCTACCTCCTTTATGTTGATCATCGTCATCTTCTGCTTCATCGTCGCCATCACAATCTTCACCATCTCCCTGTTCACTATCTTTGTCGTCTGCACCCAATTTGCGGGGATCACCCGCGTCCCAGATCCTTCCTATCGTTGATAACGTGTATTTCGTTGACAATATCAGTGCAATGATTGTAAAACCTAATACTACACCAGAAATACTTGTGGCATTATCATAAATAAACGAAAGATCGAACATTTTGATCTCCAGTTTTAGTCATCAAATATGACAGCTCGTACCTGTGTTGACGTTCGAGACGACTCTCCAGTCTCGCGAGCGATTGCGAGATCACATTTTCAAGATGGCCGCGCCCACGGGTATACACATTACCGATCTATATAGAATTTTCTAGATTTCTAGTCAGTTGCCAATTGATTTCATTGCTTGTCATTGGCACCACTTACGTGTCATGCAAATCTGGTTTAATTTCTTTGTTAGCGCCACGATGTTTTAACCTGTATATTGTCGTGAAACATTGCATTGAGGGGTTTCTGTCTCGGGGCAAGGCCAGTTACCAGCTGCTTAGTCCTCCGCTCTTAGTCTATTCATGACATAATACACGTAAACAAGTATGCGAACGTGTGACACGACTTTTCGGCATGAACTCTCCTTGATAATGTTATATTATCCCCTTTTTGATAAAAAAACCCTAATTGTTTTGACAATTTTGACTATGACAATGCAGATTTCGACCTTCTTCAGTTAGATCTACGTATATTTTTTTGGCTTATTAATTTTCTAGTCATATGTGATTAATTCAGTGTTTTCGTGAAATGCAGGATATTTCAACTATGTGTCTTTGTTGCCAATCTCTCTGCATAAAAAATTTAATTATCTTACAATATGTAGATCTAAGCAGCCTGTCAGAAAACGCCTTGACATATAGGCCTATATTATCTAATACTTTCATATAAATATTTTGTTATTTTACAGTAGCTCTAATATGTATAAATGTAATATAAATAATCTGTAACATATACTGAGTGCATGCTCATAATTGTTAGTCACGAAAGTTAATTGACATACATCTGACAGGAATAATTTTCATCATATTGCCAGACAAGATGTCAGATGACTTTTGAAAGAGTGTTATAGAAAACTGTTATCAGTTGCCATTGCCATTAACATGGTTGCCATTGTTATCATTCTTATAGAATATAAATCAGGGCAATAATACAGTTTACTGGGGCAGCTTATATAATGCTAATTGGCTCAGACTGCCAGCTGTGGCTCTCGCTTCCCAGATCTTGATCCGCAGGGTTAGTTGTGAGATAGGGTATGGGTTCGCTATCACTTTTAAGTAATTAATCCAATGTAATTGAGGAAAATCAGTACAGTTGTTATCAAGTTTTGAGTTCCACGAAGAAAATGACTTCTATAGGTAAATAATCACGTGCTGATGACTTGGTAAACAAGCACTAATTATTTGTGATAGCTCCCGTGGAAAGGGGTTGGCCAATTAGAGCAACACATTATCTTAGCTTAGCTTCAAGTTGGCAGTGTGAGATCAATCCTCCATGCTTCTAATGACTATCAATTTATTGGTGGTGACCTACATGAACTTGTTGATTCAAACCCTCCTTTGTAAAGAATGTTTCTTTTTTAACACACCTGTAAAAATGTAACCATGTTTTTTTGTAATGTTTAAGACATACTGTCGACATTGTCCATCTAGCCATGTGTGTACTATTCCATTGTTGTAGTGATCGATCACCTCTCGACTGTCCGCCATGTCATCCTGGTGCTGTCAGGAAAGGGAGGGGTAGGGAAGAGCACAGTTGCCACCCAACTGACACTTGGATTACGAGCTGAAGGAAAGAAGGTATGCAGGTTGTGTAGTGGACCTTGGTTGCACTTTGAGATGGTTACCCAAGGAGGTGCTTCTCATACACTTCGACTGCCTCCGTGGTCTAGTGGTAGAGCGTCCGCCCAGAGAGCGGAAGGTCTGGGGTTCCATCCCCAGCCGCGTCATACCAAAAGACGTTAAAAGATGGTACTTGTTGTTACCCTGTCTGGCTTTCGGCATTAAGGGGCTCAAACAAGGACTGGGGCGGTCGGGTAGCCTAGTGGTTAAAGCGTTCGCTCATCACGCCGAAGACCCTGGTTCGAATCCCGACATGGGTACAATGTGTGAAGCCCATTTCTGGTGTCCCCCGCCGTGATATTGCTGGAATATTGCTAAAAGCAGCGTAAAACCAAACTCACTCACTCACTCAAACAAGGACTGGTTGGCTCAGAGTCAGTATACTGTGTCTGAGTGGGGTATTCATGTTAAACTGTGGCATGGTATCTCAGTGGGCTAGCACTATAAATCGGCATCAGTCCAGACTAGTACAAGCAGCCACACACACACACATACACGTGCATGCACGTCGCTATATAAGTGCAATAATCTTGGACGCGACGTTAAACCCCATTTCACCTCACCTCTCATACACATCATGCATTGAAATACATCCCTTACACAAGATGTTCAGGATGTGTTATCAAGCAGGGATTTCCACAGTAACTTGACAGTAACAAACAGACAAACAAATCATTACTGGACTAAAAAACACATGTCACTATTACACAGCATAGCGACCATATGTGTGCACAGGTGATCGAGGAATATACAGGTGCAGTGCTTGGTCTGATTTTATTTTGCTGACAACATTAACAGAACATGTAAGTGGCAGTACTGGCTGTGGTGTGTGATGGTTCAGCTGCATCAACTTGTGCATCTTCCCGAGGCAAGAGTGTCCACTAGTCTATATCAAAGCCTAGTTTCTACCCTTGCCACAACAAGGCCACTTTTCTTGGCTCGACCCTGTTTCCACCTCGCATAGATCATGAGTTGTGCCCCTTGTAATGAAAACGCAATATCCAATCAGATTGCTGTTCTTATCTCGTACGGGGCGGTCGGGTAGCCCAGTGGTTAAAGCGTTCACTCGTCACGCCGAAGACCCAGGTTCGATTCCCGACATGGGTACAATGTGTGAAACCCATTTCCGGTGTCCCCCGCCGTGATATTGCTGGAATATTGCTAAAAGCGGCGTAAAACCATACTCACTCACTCACTCACTCTTATCTCGTACAGCTTCACAAAGATGGCAACTACCATAGACCTAGTCGATCAGATTGCGAAAAACATTTGCGATTTCAACCCTGACACAAAAACATAGGCAATTGTTGGGGGGTTTAAAAGATGAAGAAGACATATTCGTATCAACAAAGACAGGCAGTGGTAAGCCAGTTTCATGGGAAGGTATACCAGCCATGGATGTTGATTGTGTGAAATGGTCTCTAATTGGATATGTGCAATAGTCCAATCATATTTAGCACTGGAAAGTGGGCTTGATGTGACAAGAAACAAAACTTTGATAACACATTAAAATATGTTTTATAATGAACACGCTTATAAAGAACTGACGGATATTACAAACTTAATTTTTGATCCCGGCCATTTGCTGTATAGATGTTGTATACATGCTTATAACGAACTAAAATTAGTGGTCCATTTGAGTTCGTTATAACAGTAGTTTACTGTAAGTCAAATGGACGCTCTTGCCTTGGGACGATGCAACTTGTGATGTTCCTAGGATGTTATCATTTGGTTGAATTAACTTGCAGTCATCCTGACATGAGAGGATGGATAGCGGTTTTAATGACTATTTTCTGACAGGTTGGCCTGCTGGATGTGGACCTCTGCGGCCCCAGCATACCACGCATGTTTAATGTGGAGGGCAATGAAATCCATCAGTGTCCAGAAGGGTAAGTAATGGTGGAATTGATTATAAGGATATTGAGTGGTGCCTGTTGGAATTTAAATGTGCCACAGCGCACTCGTAAGGATATTGAGGGGTGCCCTTTGGAATTTCAGTTCGCCACAGCGCACTTGTAAGGATATTGAGTTGTGCCCATTGGAATTTAAATGTGCCACAGCGACTCGTAAGGATATTGAGGGGTGCCCGTTGGAATTTAAGTGTGCCACAGCACACTTGTAAGGATATTGAGGGGTGCCCGTTGGAATTTAAGTGTGCCACAGCGCACTCGTAAGGATATTGAGGGGTCCCCGTTGGAATTTAATAGTGCCACAGCGACTCGTAAGGATATTGAGTGGTGCCTGTTGGAATTTAAGTGTGCCACAGCGCACTCGTAAGGATATTGAGGGGTCCCCGTTGGAATTTAATAGTGCCACAGCGACTCGTAAGGATATTGAGTGGTGCCTGTTGGAATTTAAGTGTGCCACAGTGCTCTTGTAAGGATATTGAGGGGTGCCCGTGCCCGTGCGACTGTGCTTGTCGTTAAAGGTAACTAACAGGATTGGGTGGTCAGGCTTGCTGACTTGGTTGATGCATGTCATTGTATCCCAATTGCGTGGATCAATGCTCATGTTGTCAATCACTAGATTGTCTGGTCCAGAATCGATTATTTACAGACCACCGTCATATTGCTGGAATATCGCTAACTGCGCAAACAACAAACAAACAAACAAAACATGCAATATTAATTTTCAGTATGCTACAACAAAATATCCATACTGAGACGTATCAAAACAGTTGCTGAAATATAAGACGTTGAAGGTTGGGACGATAAAAGGATGCAATTTTAACAGTGCCAATACAAGAAATTATGAACCTTGGTAAATTAAAATGGTGTACACTGAGAGTGGATTGAGGCCATTACAACCAAATGCCTGATACCTGTGTGCTCGGATGGTCCATGTTGATCAGTGCGGGTTTGGTTGTCAGGACTGTCAGAAGTCATTTGGTTTTGACGATACAAGTGTTAGCTTTAGACACATGACTTTTTAGCAACATTCAACATATTTATGGTCCAAACCACCCTTCGGCCTCAATGAATGTCGCTAGAAAGTTCAGTGCTTTAGACAACTGATAACGGCATCGCCTTGCATCATGACCATTATTGATTGTGCCGGGGGCACCGGTGGCCCAGTCATCTAAGGCGCCGCAATTGGTTGTGCAGAGTTGCATCCCTTGGTCATGCCAGAAACCTGTGGTTTTGGGTTCGAATCCCGGTTCGCCCTGATTATGTTTCTAGGTTTGTCAGCACCATACCCGTGGTCATGGGTTTCACTGAAGTGATAAAACGTCTGAGACCTACATCACTTAGGGCTTTCCTCCCACATTAAGCTGACAAGCTGTGATATAACTGGAATACTCACAAACTCACTCTTGATTGTGGCAGCTGGTTGCCGGTGTACGTGGACAAGGAACAGAAGATCGGCATTATGTCCATTGCCTTCCTGCTCAACAACAGGGATGATGCTGTTGTGTGGAGGGGTCCCAAGAAAAACGGTAATTACGGTATTACTCTTCATAAATGAAATATCTAAGAAATCTTTGCTTAATAGAGGCCCAAAAATTTACATTTTCAGTTTTGTCGTATGTCTTTTTGTCATCAAACCAATACATTTTAAAAAAGGCAACTTAATGCATCATTTGGTGACTTGGTTGCTTCAGTGGATCACTGCTCATAATATCAATCACTGGTTTATCTGGTCCAGACTATTTACAGGCATTCGTAATGTGGCTGGAATATTGCTGAGTGTGACATTATACAATGTTGTGTAACAAACAAACAAACATTCATCATCAGCGTGATCAGTGTAAATGATTAATATATTTTGTTGAAAGTGGCCGAGAACATGTAGAATGTGACTCGAACATTGACCTATTTCTCCGGCAGCCATGATCAAACAGTTTCTGAGTGATGTGTACTGGCATGATGTGGATTACCTGATCATCGACACCCCGCCTGGGACGTCCGACGAACACATCTCCGTGATGGAGGCCTTGAAGAAATACAACCCAGATGGGGCCGTGCTAGTCACTACACCACAGGTAGGCTCGGAGGTAGACATAGAATAAACGTATTGTTGTGACGCGAAAAGGCCCATGTTCTGTCTTTTCTGTCATTGAGGCAGACTGAAAGTAGTTCCGGCATAAAGTGTGAAATACTGGTTTTACAATTTGAGATAAATATAGTATTTCATCACAAGGTTAAGCATAAATTGGATTAGTCTGGCATTTGAGTACCTGGGACAATATTGATACTGTATGTGTATTACATGATATTGCAATCACTGTATTGTCTGGCCCAGACTCGATTATCTACAGGCCGCCGTCATACAGCTGGAATATTGCTGAGTGCTGCATTAAACAACATACAAACAAACAAACTATGCTTGTCATACAATATACAATATTTATTCCTCAAAATCTGGTGTTTTTTAACTTCTTTTGAGTAGTATATATACTACTCAAAAGAAGATAAGGATCACCTGATTCTTCCATATTATCGTCATGCCGTGACAGATTAACATTACCAATATGAAAGAATTGGGTGATCCTTAACTTCTTTTGAGTAGTATATAATAAATGTATCTGTCTCTACTCAGGCTGTGGCTGTCGGAGATGTGAGGAGAGAGCTGACATTCTGCAGGAAGACGGGGATCCCTGTGATCGGCATCATAGAGAACATGAGTGGCTATGTCTGCCCCCACTGTGCTGTTAGTTCATATCTCATACTCGTCCCAGACATGGTCAATAAATCTGAAGAATTTTTATGTAATGGCTACAAGTTTACTATTTCAGATCAGTGACCTCAAGTATTTTACGTTAATAATGTGGAACCTCGTTAATCCAAATTTATCAGTTTCCACTGAACTTCATCAGGATAAACATATTACCGAACAGTGTGAGTGAGTGAGTTATGGTTTTACGCTGTTTTTAGCAATATTCCAACAATATCAAGGACGGGGGACACCAGAAATGGGTTTCACACATTGTACCCATGTCTTTGTCTTCGGCGTGACGAGCGTACGCTTTAACCACTAGGCTACCCGACCGCCCTGACAATGAAATCATGTAAGATATTAAAACTACGTGTTTCCAGTGTTGTGGGGTTGACAAGAAACATGGTAAGGACGAATAGAGGCTACTGTTCGTTATATATTATAAGTCATTCATTTGATGTTTTTATCATGGACTGTTATGGGTGAACAAAACCGTCCAAATGGTGTGCTGGATTTCTTGGAGGAATTAGTCAGCAAAAGAGCCGGAGTCACAGGAGACTAATCACAATTTTATTTACAAGAACAATTAACAATGAACAATTTAAAATTACTTAAAAAATAACTGAGGGTGCCACGGAGAGTCGGTACAACCCTCTGGGCTGTGGGAGAGAGATCTGCTTGGTTAGAGAGTCAAACCCCTTCTCTGCCATAACAAGAGGTTTCTGTATGTATTTAAAAAAAATTAGAACAATAAAATGGAATATGATTAGTTGATACACGATGGGTTGTGCCCTATGCTAAATGAATGGCTAGACAGAGGGGAATACTTAATCCGGTTAATCCTGTTGGACTGGCACTAATCTTGTTGACATATTTACTGGATGCTTTGAAAGAGATTATGGTGTCACTATAGATGAGCTTGTGTTGGGGCTAATCCTTAATGCACTATAGACGAGCTTGTATGGGGGCTAATCCTTAATGCCCTATAGACGAGCTTGTATGGGGGCTAATCCTTAATGAGTCTAAATTGAAGTAATTGCTGAATGTTATTCTAATATAGGTGATGACAGATTTACTTAAATAAAATAGTTCAAGGTAATCTATAAGACTATGTAGACATATCTTTTGTTCTGGGAGATGGGATCTTGATACCTTAGGCTAGCATTTATCTAAAAGTTTCAAATCTATTTAACTATGTAGACATAACTCTTGTCTAATTGAATAGTATGTCTAGGAGTTGCGCTCCCATTACCTTAGGCTAGCATCTATCTAAAAAGCTATAACTGAAACTACTGATATTTTATATATGCATTTTACCTGATGATAAGGATTACTTTCTAAATTATAATTATATGAAATGATGTATAAATATTACACCATGATAAGTCATAAAAGCACTTGATGTGGATCTAATTATTATAGGAAAACTTAGTATAAATGTTACACCATGATATTTTTAACCAAAATGTTTGATCAAGACATCCGACTAGATTGACTTTATTTCGTGCTGTTTTGGCCACATATTGGCGAGAGTTTGCAGTGATCCTGTGACATGTACTTGTTCCAGGAATGTACCAACATCTTCTCCAAGGGTGGAGGAGAGTCATTAGCCAAGCAGAGTGGAGTACCTTTCTTAGGTAAGATGTCAGAAAATGTTTGTATTAGGCTGAAACAAAAAATGGTCTTGGTTCTCAGACTCCGCCCGCACAATCAAAAAGTCTGCCGCACGTTTCGTTTTATATTTCCATTTTCAAAAGAATATAAAAATCCTAATACTTAAAAACAATGCAGTCCAGTATAGCATGCAGTTAGTTCCCTTTACATGTGCACTGCTTTACTGCACATCTTGTGTTATAGTCATGGTGGCAATAGGAGTTTGTATGCTTGTTTATACTTGCTTGTTTATTTGGTTACATACTAGTTTGAACAAGCAAAAAAAAAAAAACACCACCCGCCCGCACTTTTTTTCAAGAGTCATTACCTGAGAACCAATTCTTTTATTTTGTTTTGCCTTACACATTTCACATAAAACAGTATGTTCCGTTGATCCTGGGTTTAGTATGTATAGGGCTCACCTCCTGCTGCTTTGATGATGATGATGATGATGACGACGACGACGACGACGACGATGATGATGACTCTCAGGAGTCAAGCTGCCAAACACAGTCACCAATTCGCCTATTCTCACCAACTGACGTTTCTTAACTTTGCCTGATGTTTTACCTGTTTGCAGTACACAGGACCATGTGCCACCACATTACTCCAACACCCGTGAAGATCAGAGTTTGAATTGATCTTCAGCAGGGGTGCTTGTCATAAGTGGCGACTAACGGGATCGGGTTGTCGGACTCACTGACTTAGTTGATGCATGTCATCTTATCCCATGATTGAATGTTCATGATATCAATAACTGGATTGTATGGTCCAGGCTTGATTATTTACAGACTGCCAGCATGTAGCTAGAATATTGCTGAGCGCAGCGTTAATCAGCAAACAAACATGATATCAATAACTGGATTGTATGGTCCAGGCTTGATTATTTACAGACTGCCAGCATGTAGCTAGAATATTGCTGACTGCAACATTAATCAGCAAACTAACAAACATGATATCAGTCACTGGATTGTCTGGTCCAGACTCAATTATGTACAGACCCCTGTCATATAGCTTGGATATTTATGAGTGCAGCAATAAACTACCGTATATCGCTGTGTATAAGGCAAGTTTTTTGTACCTCAAATTATAGGGGCCTGTCAAGGGGGGTCGACTTATACACAGGGTTGAAGAGTGTTGAGTTTTATCTCAACTTTAAATTGATATTGACCAAGTTTAATTGTTATGATCTGTTCGTTTCCCTGAATTCGCTGAAGGGAAACGATGTAATTTTTTTCTGCTAAAACAAACACGTTTTTATTGCAAATGTAGGGATTGTGTATAGACTTGTAACATGCTTCATTCCTATTTGCTTTATAGACAGGGTATATAAATAAGCGTCGATTTTAAAGACTTGTACAGGGGGGTCGTCTTATACGTGGGGTCACTTTATAGATGGCGATATACGGTACAAACAAACAAACAAAAACACAACCCTAAGCCCCAATATGATGCTGTGTTACAGGTAGGGGTGGTCGGGTAGCCTAGTGGTTAAAGCGTCACGCCGAAGACCCAGGTTTGATTCCCGACATTGGCACAATGTGTGAAGCCCATTTCTGGTGTCCCCCGCCATGATATTGCTGGAATATTGCTAAAAGCGGCGTAAAACCATACTCACTCACTCACTCACACTGTGTTACAGGCACAATCCCACTGGACCCCCAGCTAACGGCTAGTCTGGACCAGGGCAAGAACATTGCAGACGTGTACAAGGACTCCCCATCCCTGGGGGCTATTCAGGGAGTGGTGAAGAAACTGATGAAGGTGGATGAAAATCTGCCATGACAGCAACACAAGCCAATCAGAACCTCCAATATATTCCATGCAGAGCTGGCATTCACTGCAGAAGTGGTTATAGTGCTGTCCATGTGTATACAGTACATTCCTGTGTTGATGTGCATGGCAGATCGTGCGGTCTCTCGTCACACCCTGTGATGATGTTAACGTGTAGTTTCTTTCCACATCATATGGTGCTCACATTGTTATTAAGAGCAGGACCTCAATAGGGTGGCCATAGAAACTATAGGGGCACTTGAATAGGTATCAGTATTGTGATACCTAACAGTGTTAGAAATTGGCACTAGTCCTGTAGTCCTTGCCAAATTGCCCAATAGTCAAGGTATCATAAGGACTTGTAGAAATTTGCCCTTTTTAAGTGTTTTGCTATATATATTATCATTATAAGGACTAGTGGACTAAAATTGTTAGTTTCTATCGCTACCTAACAGTACCCTTGTGATGACCTGATATAAATTATCCATTGAACCAACCATAATCTAAATAAGAATTGTAAAATGAATTGAAGTGTGTGCTGTAATCTGATTTGGTGAAAATTGTTGTTAAATTACATTGGATCCCGGAAATTGTTCACATGAATACGTTGTGGAGAAGTTACTTATTTTCTCAGTCTTGAATTTTAAAAGAAATATTCAAAATTGATGTCATGTTAATTATATGTTAAGTTTGATGACTAAATATCAGAACAAATTCAATTCTGCTGACCAGGATGGTTTGGTCATCACAAAAGCATGTGATATCATTCATTGTATTGACATAGCATTCCAGTGTGACATCATAGCATTCCAGATTGATTGCGGGTTCACGTAGGGAGAGAGTGATTCAGAAATATTTTATAGTATGACTCTATATTATCACGGGCTCTATATTATCACTGTATCGCTAAATCTTGTAATCTACATCCCCTATCTACTGTTTACTTATGCAAAACTAAGCACAATTTTTCATCATGGCTACTTGTAAGTATACATGTCAGGAATGTTTTTGAAGTGGAATTACCCCTACCTACATTCGAAATTGGTTAGAAAAGAATCCGCTTGTTTGGACGATGTCCTTTGACACAACCTAGGTTGTATGAATACTGATTATGCATAATCCCAAACAGGAAGTGATGTAAACCACATAATCCTCACATATCACACAAAATAGTGATACCGCGATAATGCAGAGTTGTCCGCCCTTGAGTCGCCAATGACAGGTACTTTGTTTACTGAACTCGGTAAAGAAAACCAGCATCAATCAATCCTAATAGAATAAAGAACAAGAAACATTTGCGTATGACATAGTTAATGTGTTAGTAAACATTCACCATAATGATGATCCATTATAAATTAACTACTGCGATAACATAGCATACCATGCTAGCATGCAATGTTGATAAACAAAATATGTTTCAGGATTTGCAGGGTAATTGAGTATTCTACATCGTGATAATTAATTTGTTTATCTCTTAAACTTATGTGTTTTATTTATGACTTTATCTATTATCTTGAAATGATAATCATTGAGATTCTAATAATTAGAACCATCAGTTGATTTAAGCATAACATCACCTTAGAAATATCTCCTTACCATCAGGGGGCACGGGTGGCCCAGTTGTCTAAGGCGCCGCAATTCGCTGTGCAGAGTTGCGTCCCTTGGCAAGCCAGAACTTTATGATTGTGGGTTCGAATCCCGGTTCACCCCGATTATGTTTGTTAGCACCATACCTGTGCTCGTGGGTTTCACCGAAGTGGTAAATGTCTGAGACCTGCATCACTTCCGGCTTTCCTCCCACATTAAGCTGACATGCGGTGATATAGCTGGAATACTGTTAGCGGCGTTAAACCCAACTCACTCACTCACTCTCTTTACCATCATGATCATAAAACAAGAACCCAAGAGCAAAATTTGTTTGTTGGTTTTTTGGTTGTCTGCAATGGTGTGGGATGGGAGTGAGTACATGGAACATGTTTCCTCACAACTGGTAAGGAGTATCTTTACGTGTGACCAGCGTTAACTGAACCTTTATTTGCAAGGAGACATAATGAACAGTTGGGACTAAGTGAATACAGCCTATGGTGATTAAGCCTGGATGACTAAGGATTACTATCAAACAGTATTATTTAAAATATATTGCAGCTTGGATGTAAATTGGGAGCTTCTTTGCTCTTCAGGATGTCTGCTGGAATGGTTTATGCACATTCACTTTCTCTGCACACTTCGAACTGTCATGAATCATGAGTGCTTTTGTCTGATATTTTATGGCAAACTATCACCCATATAAATGTCTCAGCTAAGAACCATTGGCTTAAAGTCAAACCGTCAAAGATAAAATGTTACTGGCTTAAAAAAATAAAAGAATAGGTTCTCAGGCAATGACTTTTGAAAATATAGTGCAGGTAGGTGGTGTTTTTTCGTTGTTGCTTGTTCAAAATAGTATGTAACCAAATAAACAGTTGTGTACCATCATCCTGGGAAACGGTCTCCCTACATATACAAGCATACAAACTCCTATTGCATCCATCACCATAACGCGAGATGTGCAGTGAAGCAGTTCGCATGTAAAGGGAAGTAACTGCATGCAATTTGGATAGCATTTTTTTAAGTATTAGGATTTTTTTTGATTTTTTTTAAATCGAAATAAAAACGAAACGTGTGGCAGACTTTATGATGATGCGGGCGGTGCCTGAGAACCAAGACTAATATTTTATTTTGCCATATATGGAACAAAAATGGATCCCATTTTATGACATTCCACAGAGCAGATTGGGAGTCCTGCAGCCAGGTTGTTCATACTGTATCACTGCCGTGTTCCCTGTCGTTATGGCACTGTGTCATCATTAGTGGAATGTTGCTTATGTTAGAATTTGAGGGAAATACATAAATCATCTTCCTGAGGCAAGAGAGTTAACTGTTTGTAAATGTCCAGTTTCCACCCTTGCCAAACTGGGCTGGAATTTTTAGGCTCGATCATAGCGCCACCAGTGAAGTGATGTCCCTTCTTAGCCTCTCCTATTGACCAATCAGATTCCACCTCACATATCACTTGCATTTGCTTCTAATAAAAATGGTGTGGCCTAGTGAAGACGATTTGATCGATAATCAAGATTATTGTAATAAACCGGGTCTTATTTTTGTGAAGTGCATCAAATCACATGAACACCTTGATTAAAAACATGCACATTTTCGTAAATATCTGTTGATGATAAGTTGTCGGTACACATGTTTTGCAAATGTGATCAGCCGGAATCTGCACATCAGTTTATGAACCGGATGTTGATTTCGTTACACGATTTTAATTGGACTCTGCATTGATTCATTAGTCCAGCCAAAATATAACTCCATAATTCCAGCCTAGTATCACAACAGGTGGAAACTGGACTTCTATTGTCAGTTATCTCCCTTGCCTCGCGAAGATGACGTAAATGGACAAATTATCTATTGCAAGTAAAATAGCACGCTAACTTATATATACCATGATATGAATCAAGATGTTTTCTTATAGATAAAGGTTATATCCTGTTCTATATCGTAATTAAATAATAGATTAAATAATATTTTAGAATTACATAAACATAAACGAAAAATAATCTTTACTGCAGATCAGCACACATCCCTGAATAAAACTGAAATCTTGTTCATACAAACTGTCGACTATTTTCACTCCCCTTGTCTTCTGAGTTCTGAGAGCTCCAATATTTACAGTGATTCCCAAGACTTTTGAGTTCAAGGTGTCACTGTATTTGGTACTATTTTCTGAATTGAACACATTAATGTTTTGGAATTTAATTCTGTGCACTGAATTTTGCCAAATGAAGATTTGCTGCTGAATATCAGTCCATGGAAAAGTGTAGAAAATCAACTTTGTGTGAAACCATAATTAATTTTGTGTGTGTAAACAAATAACACAAATAGCGAGTACTTTGTTATTCATAAAAGTGTCATATCTTAATTTTCCTACAACTTCTGAATGTCTATCAAGGACTTGAAATCGAATAATAGTTGAATAATTGATACTTTTCGTGATCTAAGCGGATCAGTTGATTGGAAATTAGTTTCAACACTATATTAAAAACCCACCAAGTTTGTAAATGAAATCTAGTTGAGCTTGATGTCCAAATGGAGCGAGGATCACAATTCTGATACATGGAATAATTAGACGATGCATGTGGTGGTGTTGATATCACTGAAATGTACAAGTATTGTTATGTTTGTCTATAGCTGGCCATGAAGCATTAGCATGAAATATACCACTCAGCTTTTGGTAGGGATGATCACATATGTCATGCTATTCAAATATACGTTGGCATTATGAGAATCAGTTTTGTGTCTCTTGGAAAGATAAAAATATTCCTATAAAAAATCGAATAGGAGGAGACTTTGACCTACCTTTTCCAGTGATCAATACTCACTTGGGGGAATAAATCATGCTCTGCTAACAGTAAAATCCTGCAGGCCACATTCCAACAAGTGGTGTCCCATCCTTGTGGTTACTGGTGACGTCACCCTGTCCGTTGCTATAGCAACATGTTGGTGCTACTGTAGAATATGTGCTTAGAATTAGCATAGGTGGAACTTGTGAATGTATATTAGTATCCACATGTGGGTATTTAGACACTGGTTGGTCTAAAGTTTAATTTCATTTGAATGAATCTTGTTGAAATTCATTTTTTACATTAGGCCAGATCAATTTGCTTTGGGAGATTTACTGAAACTCTGGACAGTGTTGCAAAATGATGAAGGCAATATAACAAAGTAACACTGACTATTGTTCGTTTGGAAGGTATACTACTCAAAAGAAGTTAAGGAACACCCATATTTTTCGTACGACTAGTTAATCTGTCCTGACATCTGTCTTTTTTCATGACCTGCCAGATTAACTATAGGTGTATGAAAAAAGCAGCAAGCATGGTGTTCTGAAGACCAGTTCTAACCTGGATCTTCATGGTATGAAACTTGGTGTCCAAATCGGGACGACATTGCCAAGCTGCCTTTTGTATTCACGGGTGATCGAGGAATGTAGTGCACACAAACAAGTGAGTTGCTGCTATAGGTTTCTTCCAGTTGAGTTTTACAGAGAACTTTGGGGTTTTGTAATGAACTGACGGGCAGGAATACACAACAAAAAGTAAGGCAAGAGACTTTTATTGTCTGATTATGCCTAGAGGCAGGAGGTAAAGTAGAACAGATGTGACTTGAAGTTGCCTTTCCTTTAAAAGTAAAAAAAAAAGTTCTATCTGTTTATCGAACAAAAAAAAATTGTTTTCCATCAAACACAGGTATTTATTTTCAATTGTTTTTCTTTTGAAAAAATCTTGTACAGATTTAACATGTCTGAAACATGATAAAATAAGTCTGTCTGGTTTGGGGGGGTACGGGTGGTCCAGTCGTCTAAGGCGCCACGATTCGCTGTGCAGAGATGCATCCCTTGGGAGATGTGGGTGAGATGTCTGGATTACTTGGATCCAGAGGGTGAGATGTCTGGATTACTGGGGTCCAGAGGGTGAGATGTCTGGATTACTGGGGGCCACAAGGTGGGATGTCTGGATTACTGGGGTCCAGACGGTGAGATGTCTGGATTACTGGGGTCCAGAGGGTGAGATGTCTGGATTACTTGGATCCAGAGGGTGAGATGTCTGGATTACTGGGGGCCACAAGGTGGGATGTCTGGATTACTGGGGTCCAGACGGTGAGATGTCTGGATTACTGGGGTCCAGAGGGTGAGATGTCTGGATTACTTGGATCCAGAGGGTGAGATGTCTGGATTACTGGGGGCCACAAGGTGGGATGTCTGGATTACTGGGGTCCAGACGGTGAGATGTCTGGATTACTGGGGTCCAGAGGGTGAGATGTCTGGATTACTGGGGGCCATAAGGTGGGATGTCTGGATTACTGGGATCCAGACGGTGAGATGTCTGGATTACTGGGGTCCAGAGGGTGAGATGTCTGGATTACTGGGGTCCAGAGGGTGAGATGTCTGGATTACTGGGGCCCAGAGGGTGAGATGTCTGGAATACTGGGGTCAAGAGGGTGAGATGTCAATAACTGGGGGGCAGAGGGTGAGATGTCTGGATTACTGGGGTCCAGAGTGTGAGATGTCTGGATTACTGGGGTCTAGAGGGTGAGACGTCTGGATTACTGGGGTCCAGAGGGTTAGACGTCTGGATTACTGGGGTCCAGAGGGTGAGATGTCTGGATTACTGGGGTCCAGAGGGTTAGACGTCTGGATTACTGGGGTCCAGAGGGTTAGACGTCTGGATTACCGGGGTCCAGACAAATGAGGTTTCACTGTTTCTTCCATTGGTGTAGTCCCCAATAAAGTTTTGTGAGTATATTATCTTATGTGCCCCATGTAGCTATTAGTTTTGACAGGTTAAGATGAATCTTCCAATGAGTCCACTGTTACAGAATGGCAATCATATTAGTAATATTTGTGTAGGAAACCTTACTATATCAGTTGTAATTACTATTTTTTCAGAAACATTTGTTTGACAGTGTGAACCATTCGTCCATCCTGCTGTGTACAATCATGTATATGTGTTTATGACATTTGTGAAAATGCATGATAAAAATAAATATTTCATGTATTCCATAAGAACCCTGTTGAATCGTCATTTTGTATTGCTAGGGCATTGTGCTGTATCCCATCATGGGCGGTGGGAAGAGCAAGCAGCCACCCACGCCTGCTTCAAAATACCCCTAAGTGAGGCCTGGTCCTCCCAGTAATGTGTACATGTATGTTACAATGCACGCATGTAAACATACACGAGTGCCAACACTTCAGCGTGGATGAACGAGTGACAACGTCATAATCATATTGCTAAACATCTGTTTGTAGTCACGAAGTACATCACGTTTGCATGGAGACACGCGTGACAGTACACATGTAAACATACACGAGTGCCAACACTTCAGCGTGGATGAGCCAGTGACAACGTCATAATCATATTGATAAACGTCCGTTTGTAGTCACGAAGTACATCACGTTTGCATGGAGACACGCGTGACAGTACACATGTAAACATACACGAGTGCCAACACTTCAGCGTGGATGAATGAGTGACAACGTCATAATCATATTGCTAAACATCTGTTTGTAGTCACGAAGTACATCACGTTTGCATGGAGACACGCGTGACAGTACACATGTAAACATACACGAGTGCCAACACTTCAGCGTGGATGAACGAGTGACAACGTCATAATCATATTGCTAAACATCTGTTTGTAGTCACGAAGTACATCACGTTTGCATGGAGACACGCGTGACAGTACACATGTAAACATACACGAGTGCCAACACTTCAGCGTGGATGAACGAGTGACAACGTCATAATCATATTGATAAACGTCCGTTTGTAGTCACGCGTGGCACCACGTTTGCATGGAGACACGACATGTCTGTGCATGTCGATTCACCTTTAGAATTCAGACGTCCGTTCCACAACATGATCGTAGCGCTAAGGTGATCGCCACTCACCTACTGTAACTTAGGCGAACGACTGTCATTGCGCTACAATACGATCGCCTTGTGGAACGAGACCTTGCTCCTCAAAGTTTACAATCAGTTCATACCCAATGATGTCATTTGTGGAATTTTTGTTGCAAGATCCTTCGCCGATATGACGTCAACCTAGCAACAAAGTTGCTTGGTCGTCGACTGTGTATTATAAGCTCGTCTCAGTGATCTATCATCTCCACATGCCATCGCCACACCAGTCGGTCCGGAGACAGGTGTCAATCCATCCGTGCCTTTGTAGCACAGCACCTTTGTGGGAAAAGAAGTAATCTACTTCTTCTCCGAAACGGCCCTTTTCAGGGCCACCCATCTCTCCCGAAATAACGCTTTCATCCATGGCTTTGACAACCCTCAAACCAAAACAAAGAACCCACCTCCTCCTCCTCCTCCCTCCCTCGGTTGAATTTGGTGAAAGCTAGAATATTCTTAGAACAATCTATAAAGGAGAATCCAACTGACTCAACTGTATTCTACTGTGTTAATGATTCAAATAGGTTTGTGTATTCATCTGAAGCAATACTGAAAATAACATGTAGCACTAGTGAATTTTGGGGGCAGGGGTGGCCCTGGACTAATGCTTAGTCTCTAAAAATATATATTTTGGTAAAAGCAAACAACTTCATTTAAATTGAAAAGGATCGCCAGTGAGATGGGGAAATGGACCTGAAACTTTGGAAAATCCAGACTTGCTTCATTTAGGGCTGTATATAGAAAGCAATAATGTGGGGTCACCTCCCAGATTCGCACTGATTATGTTTCCAGGTTTGTCAGAACCATAGGCCTACCGTGCTCATTGGTGTCACCACAGTGAAACGGCTGATACCGGCATCCCTTGGGGCTTCCCACATAAACCTTGATGCAACTGGAATATTGTTCAAAGCAGCCTTAAACCCTACTCATTAACTCACTCACTCACTCATGCTGGTGAGTTTCACAAAGTTGTGGTGTTGAAGCCCTGCGCCACCTGGCGCGTTCATCACACAGAAAGCTGACACTGTGATATGACTGAAATATTGTTCAAAGCAGCCTTAAACCCTACTCACTCACTCACTCACTCATCCTGGTGAGTTTCACACAGTTGTGGTATTCAAGACCAGCACCACCTAGGGCGTTCATCACACAGAAAGCTGACACTGTGATATGACTGAAATATTGTTCAAAGCAGCCTTAAACCCTACTCACTCACTTGTGCTGGTGAGTTTCACATAGTGGTGGGCGTCAAAGACCAGCACCACCCGGAGCGTTCATCCCACAGAAAGCTGACTCTGTGATATGACTGAAATATTGTTCAAAGCAGCCTTAAACCCTACTCACTCACTTGTGCTGGTGAGTTTCACATAGTGGTGGGCGTCAAAGACCAGCACCACCCGGAGCGTTCATCCCACAGAAAGCTGACACTGTCATATGGCTGAAATATAGTTCAAAGCAGCCTTAAACCCTACTCACTCACTTGTGCTGGTGAGTTTCACACAGTGGTGGGCGTCAAAGACCAGCACCACCCGGAGCGTTCATCCCACAGAAAGCTGACACACTGTCACATGGCTGAAATATTTTTCAAAGCAGCGTAAACCAATCTCACTCACTCAGTCATTGGTGATTCCGAGTTTGAATTGGTCCACAGCAACCTATGCTGGTCGTAAGAGGAGACTAAACCGATTTGATGGTCAAGCTCGGAACCTAGTTTGTGACATCGTACGTGAGACGTTGCTAATTTTCATTTGTTTAAATGCCGCTGTCGCATGGCGGGAGTGCAGTCGGGCAACAAACACATACCTTTTCATGCAAATTATGTGAGTGGCGGATGCTACCGGAAGAAAAGGACAGGCTTACCCTCTTTGCAAACACCTGGTATCAGCACTAATTTTCAGTGATCGATTACGTAATTTTCCCCGCTATTTTGCATTTTAGGCCGAAAGGAATCTGTTTCCTGGAATATTGCTGATTGCTACTTTAAACAACAATCAAGTGTTCTGGGCGTTTGGCTCGCAGCATCTATTACGGTGTTGCTGTCGCTTTGTCGTTTCTAGTTCAAAGAAACACGGTAGTAATAACAGGTAGCGTAAATCAGTATAGAAACATTTATTCAGTTGATAGAAAGTAAAATACCCTCAGAGATCTAAAAGTATCGCGCTTATACAATGGTTTCGTTATCTTGTCCACCCAGCTGTCGTTGACATGAGTGTCAGCACAGTCCCTTTGGGCGGGGTAGTAGTCGACGTGGGTGATGCTGGCAGCGTTGGATGTGCCCGTCGTAGTACCGCAAGAGTTGACTGGGTTTGTGTAGGACGTCTTCAACTTATCATCCAAAGAGAATAAAGTTACTCTCTAATACATGCATGTTTGTACACACTACTCAGCGAAACGTCCCCTTCAGTCCAACTACAACATCGTTTCCGACTCTGCAAACATTCAGATGACAAAACTAACGCAGATACAAACTCGATTCATCACCTCAAATACCAAAGTCCTCCATTCCCTTGTGCACAAAGTCACATTGTGGTGTGTTGCCCTTTCTTAGATTGGACATTAAAGTCTTTTTCTTATCAAAGAATAAAAGGAGCGGCTTACCTGCGCTGAACACCAGTTCTCATCTAATCAGTGCTTGTCTTTGCAGTATCAAAAGCTGCCCCCCAAAGCAACAGGCCCTCCAGCCGTCTACGCTATTGACGATGTGATAGTCTCTGACGTCAGCTGATTGTTGACGTAATCGTTCTATGATGTCAAGAGTTTTGGGGGACACAAAAGG